TTTCGACTAATCTCTTGTGTTCTTCTGACAAATGAGAACTTTGGACTTCCCAGTTAGCAGCTTATCTTTCTTCGGTGGCAAGGAGGGAAGCTCTGCTGGCAACCAATTATTATCTGATTTAAGCTAAGAGTTCTAAGATCTTGATGATGCTCTTGTTATCAACCTTGGAGGCTAATTAAGTCAAGGCATTGATGAGTGGCTAGTTATTAATAGTAAATAGAAAATACCTTGAAAAGTGCGTGTTTGCTTTCCATCAATTTAGCTTAGACTTTTTCGAATCTACTCTTTAATTGAGCAAATGCAACACCAGCTTATAAATGTTGAACGATCTTTGATGCTTCATCGATGGCTTCCATTTAATCAACATGTTCAGCATCCTTTCTAACCCATGTATCGTGTTGGGATTGTCTGGTGGCTGATTCGTCAGCGAAGCTCTTTTCGTTATTGGCAATATCTGATGTTACGACTCTGACTTCAACTTCAGCTTCACCCAAAGCTTCGGTGGTGGAATCTCTCAAGTTGGACAAGGCAACAATTTGGGTTTAGTGATAAGCAATTTCTTATTCTAAGTCAGCAATGATTTTCTCAAATGCAACTGTGTCACTTTCATGAACTTTGTCAGCTTTCTTTTAATCTCCATTCAATTATGAGGCAATGTTGTTCAAAAGGATTTAGATCTCACCGACTGGTCCTCCTGTGGCCAATTGAAGTTGGAGAACTGAAAGGATTGAATTACCAAAGGAATCCTTATTAACTTAAGCCAAAATCTCTTTTGGACTTTCGCTCTTTGTCACTCTAGCTGTGGCAACTGCAAACACAATAGCCAATATTGTTAATGATCTAGCCATTTTTATTATTATTAATCAACAACTCAACCATTCTCAAGCGATTTACACTTATTACCCGTTTTTCATAATACTATACACTAGCATATTTATAATACGTTTTTAATTTAATCATTTTTTTTTTACATAGAATAATTCTTTTCCCTCCAATTCCAACTCCATTTCATCCACGGCTATTCCACCCTTTTATCAATCCAACATCAATTACTCTGTACTCTTCATACTTTGTTCACTGCTCTTTTATAATAGTTTCAAATAGACTCATAAAAATTAGAATAGTCAATTGGTCATTCCATTTTTCTTCAATCCTTCCTTCTGTTGCTCAAGAATCATGTTTAATTTTTAAATTCTTCATTTTATATAAATTCTATATCTTAAAAATTCCTATTTGATTGATTTAATGCATTTTCTCGAGCTCTCTTTGAAGATATCAGTTGGTTCGTATGCTTGTGTGATGTTGATGGTTCCCTTCTCCTCCATACTATATGGGTTAAGATAATATATATATATACATTTTTTAAAATAAAAATTAATGAACTCATGCAATAACCCTTAAATAAACAAAAATCTTTATTTAATTTTTATATGAGTTCAGAAGAAGAGGAAGATAAACAATATAATATCGATTAACTCCTTCTTTAGATTACATAAGTATTATTTATTTTATCCTTAAGATTGAGAGCACTCGATAAGTCAATCCGCAATTCAGAAAAGTCCAAGAGCCAGAATTTAATCTGGTTTTTAATCTCAAACGTCCTCCAGTAGAAGACTTGTCATTGGAAGAGGCTCAACTCTGCTATTTGGAAAACAAGAGGTAGCAAGGTTAGTTGTCTCAATATAATAAAATTAGTTTTCCAGAGGAAGACTAATGAGGTGAAAGACAAGAAATATGCCTATGCAGCGAACAATCAGAGCAAGATATAAAATAAATTACTAATGTTCTTTTCCAAAGTATTCCGAGATCAACCAAACATGGTTGAAAAATTTTTGTATGATAAATACAGCCACAAATAAGAAACAATATTGGAATAGTAAATACACATTGGAATCGTAATTATAATCACTTATTTAGTCATCGCAATAATTTGAGCCAGCTTTTCAATCAAATAAATTGCCTTAGCTTGGGTACAATTTTGAAGATGCATTCAAAATTTAGTATACAGATTCCAGAATGGGAAAAGCAAATATAAAAAAGTAAAGAAAAGTAAAACTTATCATCAATCTTAGCTTAAAAACGATTGCCAGGCTTCAACTTAGAATGACTATTTTAACACAATTATCCAATAAGAATTATATGAAGATCCTATCGAAATTGGAGATTGGAAGAAAAGTTGGGCCATCGTTGTGAGGAATGCAGTCAAAATTAGTAAATTCAAAGCCAAATTCAGATAAGATTTAAGAGAATTTTTTAAAAGAATAGCCTATTTTGCTGCCAAAGAGGCAAGAAGAAGGAATTAAAAATGTTAAAAATATTAAAAAGAATTTATGTTAAGAGCCAAGAAATTATCATAGGGAGGCTCAATCATATTGGAGAAAGAGAGATAAGGAATTGATTGAAATCAAGAAAAGAAAAGAAAAATTAGAATAAGAGAGAAAGAAAAAGGAGGAAGAAGAGAGAGAATAATTATTACAATAAAAAAGATTAGAATTTTTAATGAAGTAATCAGATATTTATGCACACTTTATGGCTAAGAAACTAGGAATCACTTTAGATAATCAAATTTCATTAAATACAGATGAGATTGATGAAGAATAAGCACTTGAAAATGTCTAGAAAGTAATCAATGATAATAGAAAATAATTGCAATAATTTGATGGAAAAAAATAAGAAAACGTTTAAATATAAGAATTAAAATTAGATCACAATGATTAAGATAGAGATTTCTCATTGATAGCACCTCCTTCAACTTTTAAAGGAGACTTAAAAGAGTATTAATTAAAAGGGCTCAGATGGTTGGATAACCTATATGATTAGGGTATTAATGGCATATTGGCAGATGAAATGGGATTGGGAAAGACTATATAAGCTATAGCATTGTTGTCCCATATAAGTTCCTTTAAATCAATATGGGGTCCCTTTCTAGTGATTGCTCCTTCCTCAACTTTACATAATTGGTAATAGGAAATTAAAAAATTTTGTCCTACTTTAAAAGTCTTACCATATTGGGGGTAAGCTTAATAAAGAAAAACAATAAGAAAATATTTTTAATAAAAAAATTTTGGTTAAAGAGAATCTCTCTTTCACATAGTAGTTACCTCATATAATTTAGTAGTTTCAGATAATAAAATATTTAATCGAGTAAGATGGCAATATATGATTTTGGATTGAAGCTTAGGCAATCAAAAATATTAATTCTTAAAGATGGTAGATCCTGTTATCATTTAATGCAAGAAATAGATTATTATTGACAGGAACACCAATATAAAATACAATGGGAGAATTATGGGCATTATTGCATTTCATAATGCCAAGATTCTTCGATAGTTTTGATTAATTCTAGGAATGGTTTTCAAAAGACATAGAAGCACATTCCTAAGATTAAAAGACTTTGAATTAGCATCAATTATAAAGATTACATGCAATTTTGAAGCCATTCATGTTAAGAAGGTTAAAGAAAGATGTGGAGAATGAGATAGGATAGAAGAAGGAAGTCTAGATTGTTTGTGAGATGACCAGTCGATAGGCTGTATTGTACAGGAATGTGAAATCTAAATTATCAATAAAAGAGTTCTTTAGGATGTTGGATTCAAAATAGAAGGTGGATAATTTAATGAACTTGGTTATGTAGTTTCGTAAGATATGTAATCATCCTGAATTATTTGAAAGAAAACCTTACAAAAGTCCTTGCGTATTTTAGGATAGATAGAATGTTGAGGTTTATTAGAAGAACCCAATTGTCTAGGTGACCAAAAGAAATCCAATTAGCTTCATTATTCCTAAATTGGTGTATGATAATCTAATTAAAAATACGAAATGCTTATTCACAGCACATTACATATACAACTCATTAAAGAATGGAGAGTCTACATTTTCATATTTATTATTCAAACATCTACCTTTGAGTTTGTTTGAGAAGAATGTGTTTGATTTAATTGACCTCTTATGTCATAAGTAGGATTCATCGAGTTTAGTGAATTATTCTTTTTCAAAGTAATTACAATTTTACATTCCTCCAGTTCAAAGTTAGATTGTGTCATTTGAATGCAGATCACAATCATTTTATTATTAAATTCAACAGAGTTTATATAATAGATAGGCACTTTCATTTATCAAAGAATCCCCTGCCTCTTTCATTCTACCTAATAGTCCTGAATCTTTGATAGCCTCTTCCTCTAAATTGTTACAATTGGATAAATTACTTAAAGAACTCAAATAGAAATAATGGCGAGTGTTGATTTTCTGTTAGATGACAAGAATGTTGGATATACTGGAAGAATATATGTTACATAAAGGGTACACTTACTTTAGAATGGATGGACAATGCTAAATCAATGATAGAAGAGATGTATTATATAGTATTATATTTAGATGGTTAATGAGTTCTAATAAAATGATAAGATTTTTGCATTTCTTCTATCTACAAGAGCAGGTGGTTTAGGAATTACATTAACATAAGCTGATGCTGTTATATTTTATGACAATGATTGGAATCCAACTATGGATGCTTAAGCTACTGATAGAGCTCATAGAATAGGTAGAACCAAAGATGTCTATGTTTATCGATTGATCACCAAAGGCACTATAGAGGAGAGAATTGTCAAGAGAGCACAATAAAAATAGAATGTTCAATCAACTGTTTATTCTGGTGGATTTCAAGGGGATAAGTTCAAACCTTAAGAAGTATCTAATTTGTTTATTAGGTATTTGAACTACTGTTTGGAGAATAAGAAATGGATGAGACTGTGGCTAACAAGTTTATGGCTAAAGGACAAAAGAAAAAGAAGAAGCCTGTGAAAGTAGAATAGAAGGACACATAGAAGGATGCTTAGAAGGAAGTAGTAAAAGAATAGAAGGACTAATAGGAGGAGGAAGACATTATAGAAGTTGATCTCAGAGAATTAGAGATGAATGAAAAGGATTGTGAAGATGCTGATTGATTATTTAATAATAATAATATATAATTCTAATGGGCAATTTTAAATAAAAGCTAATACTCATTTGAAGAATGGAGCAATTATATTTAGAAATCCCATCATTGCACCTATGAGCATTATCATATAATAGAAAATGAATCTAGTTTGCTTATTTAATTTCTTCTTAAGCGCTAAATGGTCTAAGCACTTTAAATCCAGTTCCTCAAATATCGATTCATCTGGATTCTCAAGGTACTCTTTTGAATCATTAATCAACCCAATCCTATTGTCATTGACTTTCTTTTTAGCATAAAGACAGGTCATATGTAATTATATTGGAATCAAATAAATTTAGAAAAATCCAACCACAGCTCCTGATAAACTCAAAATCAACGACACACTTATATTGAGACATTAAAATAGCAGAGTAGTGAAGGCAACTATTGATGTGTAAAACACAAACCACTTCTAAGGAGGTTATTCCAATTTATATATTAATGCGAAAAATTGGGATCTGGTGATAAATGCTAACAACGGGAATACAGTAGTAAGTTGAAACAATTATAGAACTTAAATTCCATAGGAATATATGTTCTAATCTAAATAGTCTAAGACGGTAGACCCATCACCTGAGGGATTTATAGCTTTTCCTTGTATTGCAATGGCTCCAAACGTACCTACCAAAGCATAAAGAATCCAAGTCCAACCAAAACTTATTGCAATGTCTCTCAAATTATTTTCTTATTGTAAATTATTTTTCATAATTGGCACTATGCAAGAATGTACCATGAAAGCAACTGAGAATACTCCACTTAGAGTTACCACATCTAAAGTCAAAAGGTTGACATTCTCTATTTCTGGCATATTTATACTGCCATAAATTACAATATAGAAAATCAATGCTACGATTGAAATGACGCCGTATTGAACTAACTTGATAATTAGAGTAAGATTCTTTTACAACATAATAAGGAATAGCAAACACATATAAAAGATACCACACCATTAATATGATAATTTACTTAACACAAAATCTGTTTTAGGAGCATAATCCATCTCTAATTCCTTACATAATAATTAAACTAGTGAGTATAACATACTGCATTACAAAATAAAAAAGACTACACCAGCAAAGTATAAAATTATGATATTCGTAATATTAAAAATTAAATTATACTTCTACCCAAGTATTCTCACAATAGTTTGCGGTAAATCTAATTCTTCAGGTTTATTGTGTACCACTTATAATTGACACGTTTTGCAAGATATTAAACAAAATACTAATGCCACAATCAATGAACTGAGTATGCCTGATTGCTAAAACAACACAGGTATCACTAACAATGAGGATCCCACCATTGTATTACTTACACTTAAAACTGTTTAGAATGAGCTATTTTTTGGAGCATTTGCTACACTAGCTTTTAAGATTGATTTCCTTAATGATTTCTTTTGAGCAAATGATAGATGGGGATTTTGAATGACTTATTAATCAATTTCTTATTATAACAAAGCATCATTTGCTAATGCATTTGCCATTTATAATTTTATAAAAATAAAAATTTAGTTCGAAACTAAATTCAAAGTGACATGCAATATCGAAGAATTTTGGAAGCATTTGAGCATCGTTGGATGGAACGCTATGAACAGAACAATAAGTTAAGAACAAAAAAATTAATATTAGACCCACCAGACTAAGTATCGGATAAAGAAGTATTATTAAGTCTCATAATTATTAGAACTTACCATTATCAAAGGTATAATAAACAAATCAAACAAAGGAGTAGGCTAGAAAAATTAGATTAAAATAATAATTGCAGGAAGAATGTCCTATTTGCATGATGAACTTGGATGAACTATAAAATGTCTGTGAAATTGATGTCTGCTAACATTAGATATGTCTGACTTGCATAAAGGAATGGGCAGAGAAATATAAGACTTAATGTCCTTATTGCAGAGCCACATTCAAGAAAATATACCCTATAGAAAATGGTAAAAGAAGGAAGACGCCAATCAAATTAAATCTGAAGTAACAAAAATGGAAACCAGAACAAGATCAATTTTATAATTCCCAAGATTAACAGGAGGAAAATCAAAAGTGTTAACTTTGCGGATGTTCTCACTCCTAGTATTTAATGTTGGTGTGTGATAAATGCAATGATTAAATGTGCCACACATTTTGTGATCCAGGGTTTTTAGAGTTTTTCATACCTGAAAAGAATTGGTACTGCTTGGATTGTCGTAAATCTAAATTAATTTATCACAAACCTAAATGATACTTATTATACATTGAGAATTGCTATATATTCTATTGCATAATATAATTCAGTTCGAATTGCAAATTAATATATATAAGTTCATAATATTAAATATTTTTTCAATTATTCTACATTTATGGTTGCATTAGTATTCTTTGAATATTTCTTAATAGAGCTCATTCTTTTTGGTTAGATATTCCTTTGTGGAAAATACTTTATAACATTAAAATTATTGTTAAACTATTCTAATCTAAACACAAATGAATTGTCTATTTCAAAAATAGATGATGCTCTATGTTCTGATTTACTCATTACCTTTGATATTCTTAACTTAGGTAAAATCTATTGTTTTTATTTAACATCCTCGTCCTACCTAATAGTTGAAGGTTTCTGATTTTATTAATCTAAAAATCGATATTGCTGAGATTTCTTTTTCACAATTACACCCTTTACAATGTCTTACTCACATTCACTTTCTGATTCGCAACTCTCATTTAGACATTCTATAATAGGCATTTAGATTAAATCGAAGTCATCCTCATTAAATTGCTCTATTTAATTATATATTTATTCGGCTATCTCTGAAAAGTCCTGATTATTAAACTTTCCTTTATGTAATCCTTATTAGGATCCAAACAAACTGACCTCAATAGTCATCGAATATTAGATATTATAGTCAAGCCAGAATGTCTATCTGGCAGTGCATTTTCGATCACTCTGAGTTGCAAAAGAGCAATCCTTTAAACTGAAATGCTTGCAATTTTGAAATTACTTTACAAAATGCTTCATTTTTATATTACAATTTGAGTTAGTTGAACATCCGTAAATAAAGTAATTTTACTTTGTGGAATGCCCATGTAAATCAATCATAAATTTAATCCTTGATTAATATTTCGTCAACGATTATTTAATATAAAAGATTTCTGGTTCCTCTTGCAGAGATGGATTAATCCACCTTCTATTTAAATCAATCCCATTTTTATTACATCTACTATTCCCAAGAAATACACCATCAGGATTTACCATAGGATAAATTATGTATCGATATTTCTGGGAATTTATTATCTTTATCAGTTCTTCTGCTATAAACGATCCACTTGTTTCACAGGGATGCTATCTTGCTAGGATTACTACGTATTTTTTGGCCTTTCCCTTTTTAATTCTGATAATTGGATTGTTTAACTGCGTATATCCAATTACTGTGTAATCTCTCAACTAAAGAGCTCGACTCAATGGATAAGGTTCAGCATAAGCGAAGGTGATGAATTCTTTATCAGTGAAAGTGTATTTAAATTCCAAAGTGTAGAAGGAGGTGGCTTTTTAATATTAAGCTATGTTAACGTCCTCGTTTGCATAAAAAGGATGATTAACATTGGTTTTGTAATAGTGAATATCGAAACATCTGTTTTTTGAAGTGAATAAATTACACGACGTTAGCAACTGATTGCTTCTTCTATTATTTAATATTTTAAATTTTATAGTTACAACAGGTTTTAATGCTTAAATCTAAAAATTAAACCATTGTGTGCATCCATTAGTATTTGAGTCACTATTTAATAATATGTTAATGCCATCTTGATCGAGTGTCACAAAAAATAAATTGGAAGAATCATAATGAGAATATACCTATATATCATCTCCAAACTATTCCAATTTTCCACCTTGCTAATTGATTTAGGGCTGAATCACTGTGTTTTCTAGACCCAATTTCTTTTAAAAAACTTTGAGGTAGTTTATCAACGAGTAATTGTGAATTGTGATTAATTGTAATTTTTTATTCATACATAATTTATTATTCATTATAAACTTTTATAAACATTTTAATGAGTTTGGTTTTAAAAGAAGTTGGCAACAAAAGATAAGTCGCATTTCATATTATATCCCAATTACAAATCAAATGCACAAGATCGAGAATTCTAATCAAATATATTCTTTGATCAATATATTAGGATGTTTCTTAATAATTAAATATATTTAAATAATTCTTCATCATTAGATCAGTTATAAAATAATGTTAGACCATTTGGCGACTAATTCATTATATTGATCTTCACTTCTTGGATTAAAATAATCAAAACAAAATAGTTCTTTGTTGCTGATTTCTGATTTCTCTTTTTCTTTGTGTTGTAGGAATTCAGCAAAATTACTATCTGGTTCCTTCCTTTAATTTTGCTTTTCATACTCAAAAATCTCAAGAGTATAAGACCTCTTGACTTTCGCCATTCCATAGGCATAATCCATTGAATTGCCTGAGGCTGTATATCCTATCTATGTAGCAGCACCTCCTATTAAACAATCTACACATTCATTTTTTACTCCTCTCAGATTATGATGATGAGAAAAAACGACATCTTCCTTCTTAAAAGCCCAAGGATGAAGGATTGCTAATGTACCTGAATGCACAGTTATAAAGGTTTTTGGTTTGAATGAGGAGAGGATATCTCTGACAGTTTATGTTTCAACCTCTGAGAAAGGTTCTGGGCCAGAAGAATCTTAAACGAAATGATTTTCTTTGAATTTCCACTCAAAACCATAATTTCTATTCAGATCAACACCATTGAGATTTTCCCTAAGACAATAATGTCCTCTTTCCACATACCTCCTTGAAGTTGGATTCATATTAATGATGATTTTCAATTTGAAATCCAGAGGAGTATGACATATTTAGTTGAGAAGGTGCAATCCAGTTTCAACACTAATTAATTCTCTTGCATGTTCTCCAAAGATAAGAAAGGCTTTATTTTTATTTTCATGATCCAATTTAGGCTTTAATGTTATAGAATCGACAATGCCGTATTTCTTTTGGGTGGCCTTCATTTAACAATTCTTTAGGATGTTTTTGACTTCAGCTTCAACTTCATCAGTCGTATGATAGAAGGGGGGTAGTGAAGTACCAGCAAATGCAAGTTTTATTAATATTAAAATTACAAATATTTTCATTTTATTTTTAATAGGAATCCGTTTCCAAAAACTTAAATATTCAATTATAAATATTTCATTTTCTGTAAAATTTGATCAAATTTTTGTATCTCTAAAAATATAGAGCATTATTAGAATTGTCTAATTTGAGAGTCTTATCAGGTCATTATATATAGGATTGAAATCTAATAAAATAATTTAAAGTAGTAATTTTGAAATTTAATGAAGTTCATTAAAAAGAAATTCGTTGTTTGAATGTTAAAATGATTCATTCAGGGATATCTTGAAAGAATATTCAAGTTTTAAGTGTAATTTATATATTTAATTTAAAATAATGAAAGTAGTGATAATAGTAATTTTGATAATTGTTGTTAGTAGTATTGATGTATGTGTGTAATAGACAACATACGATGGATGTATAAATTTAACAGATTAGTAATGCGAATGGAAGGGGTAGTATTGTCAGAAGTCAAACAATTATTTGATGGGATGTGATCCTAATTTGAGTTAGAGACTTTGTGTGAAGTAATTTGGAAATATGGATGGAACAACATCTGAATGCATATTCGATACGTTTTGCCACACTATTTATGATAAGCACATAACGAGATGCAGCAGCAAATTATCAAAATCTGGTTGCTTAGCAATTACTAATCCTGATGAACTTTGTAAATGGGAGAATGGTCAATGCTAGAACTTGAGTGTTGAGGAGATCAACAATATTAATCAGATATTTTAGGATTTGGAATTGAGTGCTTCAGTATGCAGTCGAATTTCAGGATATTTAATTATCCACAGCACTCTCCTTTGGGATTTATTGTCTTATAAGCCTGATCTCTTCACAGAGGCACAGAACTTGGTGAAAGTGGAGGCTGGGATATCAGTGGACACGACTAAAACATATGATGATGAGAAGTTGGGAGACAATTATGTCGACAACAATGGGGATTACAAATGGTATTTATTGCCAACTTAATTGAGCATTACGAATCGTATAAGATATTGATAATATTAGTTAAAATAAATGATTATTCAAGATATGGGTGTATAGCATAGGAGATTTTAAACGAGAGTAGACTCCTTACTCTTTTAAGTCTGAGTGGTATAATAAGAGGAGTCAATCACATTTATTGCAATTACTTAAGCAAACATCCTACAAATCCAGTAAAGACAGTGTTTACGAGTTATGAATGCTAGCCAATAACAGAGAGTCAATTGCAAGATTAATAATACATCGATCAGAACTAAATAGTATGTTCGAGTATGAGTGGTTTGGTATGTTAGAGGTATTTGAATATCAAACAGAAATGTCAGATCAATTATTCTAAAGAATACGAATGCTTCAACATAGCAGCTATCTAAGTGTAATAGTAGTGTAATTCTAAGACAGGTTTGGCAACGCATTTTGATTGTGCATAGGTGAAAGGGACTGCTTGCTATTTGGATTCCTCAACCTCGAAGGCAGAATGTAGTTAGGCCTGTGTTTAATATAAGTCATAAGTGAACTGCGAAAATGATACTCGCTGTGTTTGGTTGGGGAGCAATCTCTTTGACATCACTGATTCATCAGGTTCCATATTCATAGTTTGTGCTCCTACAAATAAATGTGACTAGTTGGGTTTAAATTAAGATTATTGTCAATAAATGGCAACACCTTGTTATTGGGATGCCAATGTGGGAAAATGTACAACAATCACAACTATTGAATAAATGAAATGCGAAAGATGCAATACAATTTATTGTTGTACTTCCATTATAATGTTTGATCAATTCTGCATCTGGCATCAAAATAGTTGTTTGAATGTTAAAGATCAAAAGTTATATTCACATTACTTGTCATTTCCAGAAGCTACACTTATGAACTATAATTTATGTACCTCGCAATCAGGAAAGTACTTCTATTACAACATAGCCAAACAAAGATGTGAAAGTTCAACGGTTAATTTATATTCACCATGTGTTGATTTTGATGACGAAAATTATGATGTGGATGACTTTGAATGCAATAATGGAGTGAATAGCAGAATCAACAAAGAATATTGTCTGAATCTAATTAATTCCAATACCAGATGGGATTACTTCAAATCAAAATGTTTGCATGTGACCAATATTCATAAATCTTGTGATCAAATGAAATTGGTCAATTCAAATTTATGTAAAGGAGCTCAAGTTGCAACTCACAAATAATGTCTCTATGATTCCTAGAGTTCTAGTTGCTACTCCAAGGATGCTTCTGTTTTACATTGTGATACTAAGGGCATCAATTAAGACTAATGTTTGAGTATAACAAATGAGTACTGTTCATGGGTCGATAACTAGTGTGGATATTTGCAACCTTCCAAAATTAATTACTATAATTGCTACGAATTGCAAAAGGTCAGTCCAAGTGTCTGCAGGATGTCTGTTAATTAATCACTTTAATGTAAGTATGACTAAGATTCCCAGAGCTGTTTCGTTGTCTATCTTAACCTTTCTGATTGTGATCAATATGCCAATAGGTATGCCTGTAGAATGTCATCATCTCTATGCTATTTCAACAATGTGAGCAATCAGTGCTAAGATTCAACTCCTTTCTTAGATCGATTTAATTGTAATACTGAATTCATAAGTCAGTCAACATGCTTAGGAATCACGAAGGCTGGACAATATTGTTTCTGGGGATCAGTCAATAGTGATGCAACTGTCAGATGCAGGAATCATGAATAAGGCTTTTACTCCAATTGCAGTTCCTTCGATGGCTCATCAAATGCAAACATATGTGTTAACCTAACCACCAACATAGCACTCAATCTGTCTGATCAATAATATTGTGAAGTTATTAATTCAGTATGCTCAAGCCAGGTAAGTGATATTAACGATGCTGATTGTGGTTACACAAGGTAGATGAATGTCTATCGTTGTATGGGATACACTACTCAATATTGTTATTTCAAGAACCAAAAATGTATAATTTTAGATGGACCTCAGGAATACAAAGAACTAATCTTAAATTAGCTTTTATGTCAAAATAGTAACATGCACATTTGTACTTCAATTACAACACCTGGTTAGGTATGTTATAAATAAAATGCACATAAATGCATTTCAATGTATCTATCCTTTGGAGACAGCTGCTCGAATTTAGGTGCTTATGATATGAGTATATACAACCCCTAATTATGTATACGTAGTACAGATGCATGTTATTTTGATAAGTAAACTAACTAGTGTAAGGCTCCTTAAGCCAATGATGTTTTTCATTGTGATTAAATTGGAGCTTCATAAATATTGTGTTTATTGCACACCAGAGGACCTTGTGTATTCATTAACAATAAGTGTTCTAAATTAACTGACTTATCCATTTCTTGTGATTATAGAAATAAGATGGCTTGTACCTATGGAGCATTGAATTGTATTTGGGATCAAACCAACACTTAGTGTAAATTATCAACAGAATTATGTCCACAAGCTTATGACAATGTGAAGTCATGGAGAGTTTGTGGAATAAGTAGTGGTGTTTGTTTTGCAGGCCGTAAAGGTTGTTCAAATGTCGAAGTAACAGTACCTTGTTGGTTATCTTTGAGATATGATTTGTGTATGTCCTAACCTGGCTTTTGTTAATGGGTAGATGATAGATGCACAGATAAAGAGTATGATTGTGAGGATTCTAAGACAGTTCAAGAATGTATCTACCATAAATCTAAGGCTTGTGTTTACGATAATGGTAAATGCTTTGAGATAGATAATTTCGGAATTCATGATTGCAATGATTTTTAATACACTACTTTAAATTTCTGTTGGAATTATTACCCTTTATGTGTTTACAAGGATGACACTTGTCAAATGATTAATTATAATGCCAAGAGCGATATGACAGATGAAGATTTCTCTCAGTATCAATGTTCCAGTTTAACAAATTCTCAATATGGATGTGCATTGTAAAGGGCCATCAAATGTCGATTCGAAGATCGAATCTGGTATCAAGCATGTTCAGAAGTTCAATCTTTTGAATTAGACACTTGTGATTACTTCGATACAGTTTAGGTTAGATCGTTCTTGGCTTGTGAATCTATATAGAACTGTGGATTTAAGATGACAGTGAAAGGGGAAATATTCTGTCACACAATTCCATTACAATGTGAAACAATAACTCCTTTTTGCGTTAAGGATATTCCAGGGATCAATTGCTATCTTGATAATGATACTTGCTTAACATACACTGGAGATTTGACATGTTCAGCAGTAGCTTCATATTAAGTGAATCGTCAATTGTGCTTATCTATTATGCAAAATGAATTAAACACTGAGGAATGTTATTATCAAGAATCCACAAGTAAATGTAAATTAAGGAATACTATTGAGATCAGTGATTGTACTTAATATACTGAGTTATATTAGTGTACATTTGTGGAAGAGAGTTGTTTAATTGTGTTAGATTTAACTGGAGTATTTTAGTAATGCAATTAATCACAAAATGACACTTATAATATCAATTTGAATTATTTCGGTTGTATTTCCTTAACAGGTAGTTTGTATTACTTTGATTTGAATTCCCAGACTTGTTTGATCTATCAAGAATCCAAATATGAAAGCATTTATATTTGTAATCAATTAAATCAAAAATCTTGTGTTGAAATAATCAATGACTTAAAATGTGTGTGGGTGGATGAGAAATGCTAAGAGTACAAGTAATCTTATGAAACAGTAGATTGCGAATTCAAAAATAGATTGGCTTGTCTAAATTCGATTAAATCCTCTTGTATTTGGATAGGTGACAATTCAGAATGTGATATTAGTGATAATGTTGGTAATCAATGTGATGATGGAACCTATTTAAAATGTGAATATAGTGAAAACTATTGCAAATCTATATCTAAATTGTGGAATGGTGAAACATGTTTTGACTATTTGTTCAATTTACCCTATTCACTCTTAAGATGCAGCAAATTAGGTTTATCAAGGAGTCTCTGTCTTGAAAACACAGCAGAATTAACATGTTTTTGGGATGGTTTAACCTGCTAAGAGGCTAATTTAAAAACAATCAATTGCACAGATGATGTCTCCTATAACACATGCGAATAAATATTAACATATAAGCAGATTTGTAAATGGGATAGTGGTACTTGTGTCAATAAGTATAACTCTTAAAATTGCAATGATTACATTACTTTGACCTATTGTAAATAGGCTTTGGTTCCATGCTCATTCAATTTAGGTGCCAACACTTGTGATTCATTAACTGAGGTGGATTAATCTTGTTCAGATACATTGAGTTATTCGGCATGTCAATAGGTAACCAATTAGTACTGTTCTTGGATTAACAATACGTGCCAGAAATGGTATAGAAGTAAATACTCATGTGAGAACGTGGTGAATCAATGGGGTTGCTTAAACACATCCATGTTTTGTAAATGGAATGGTCGATGTGAGAACATAGGCAAAGAATTTTAAAAAGTCTCTTGCTAAGATATTCCCTCTGGAGTAAGAAATAATTATATCCTTCTTAGTTTAACAAAGTCTCTTGTTCCAAGTATTCAATGCAGCCTTGTAAATATGATGAGGTTACTTAGAAGTGCAACATCAAATTAACCAGTGAATATACCAACTCTATGGAAACTGATTAAAGTAACTTCGTTTAAATAAGATTAATCAAAGAATGTACTTTCTTTCAACAAAAAGAGGATTGCATAGGCAGTCGAATAGGCTATTGTTCATGGTAAAATAACTTATGTATTGATTGTTCAACAAGTAGTCAGTGTAATACTAATGATTGCATTGATAAAAGTATTAAATAATGTTTAGTAATTTCTAATGTGTCATGTGCATGGAGAAATGACTAATGTGTTGATTGGTAATCAGCTGAAAATGTTAGTTAAACTTAATTATCCTTAGTGACAGAGATTTGTTGCACAACTTTGAATATGGCTATTAAGTATGACCAATTACTCTCATCTTGTGTACCTTTGGATCTTTCTTCAGACAATTGTAACTCCAAAGGACTATCAAAATATGTATGAATAACAATGATTTCATTAGGCCTGTCTTAAATTAACCAGTGCTGCCTGCATCTACTAAAATAATGGATGTTCTGTTTATCAACAATTGATCAAATCTAATTGTTCTGATTACAAAGATGTAACTCAATCAGTTTGTCAATTGATACCTCATCTGAGTTGTAAGTATGATGCAAAAACCAATGCTTGCAAAGATATCAATACTAGCTCAGACACCTGTGCTACTATTGGGTTATCTTTGATTGGTTGTACAAATATTAAAACAGAAGCATGTTACTGGAATAGTACTTCAAAGAGTTGTTAAAGCTTTGTGGTTTAGAAAGATATTAATCAATGTGACAATTCCACATAAGTAAATAGTTTAAGTTGCTCATAATTAAATTATCATAATAATGTTTGCTCTTATAATGTATAAAATAGAACTTGTTAAGAAAGGGTCAATAAATATTTTAATTGCTCATATCCTGGATTGAATAAAATGGCATGTGTCTCTCTGATTTTAGAGTCATGTCAATATGTGGATAGCAAATGTCAAAAAGTAACTAATCTTAAGAAAAGTTGTTTGGAATTATCAGATGTTAACGAAATGGCTTGTAAAATGAACACCTTAGATAACTGCGCCTATGATCCAATTTCTAATAATTGCTATTTTACATTGCAATCATTGCCTTGTAGCTATTATGGTCTAAATTATAATAATTGCATCCATTAAACAAATTGCAAATGGTCCTATGATGTCACTTAATGCATTTGTTCTGTTCAACAACCTAAAACATAATGCCAATTGAGTGAAGCCAATTGCAAATCAAACATAAATTGTGTTTATGATTATGATATCTACTCTTGTAGACTCAAGAATTGTAATGATCTGACTGATTGTACTGGATCTATTAATGGTAAAATGTGTTATAAGGATGCTTAATCATAATGTTTAAATGCTTCAACATGTGAAGACATAGTTAACTTAAATAATCAATAGAAATGCAGTGATTTCCTATTTAACTCATCTAATTGTATTTAAATTTTGAATCATTGCATAAGTGCTTCAAACCTTAAAGAACTATGTCCCAATAGTGATTGCTCAAATACTGCCTGCAAATTCGACAACTTTTAATGCCGTCCTTTAGAATGTGTAGACAGAAGTGAAGAGGATTGTTTCAATTTCTCTAATTGTATATATTTGGATGGTAAATGTCAAGAGATCTCAGCTTGTTCAACAATAACTGATTCTTCAACTTGTGTCTAAACTACTATAAACTAATTCAAATGCTCTTGGGAAATGTACGGAGTCTATGAGAACACCTATCATTGCACAAATACCTACTGCCATTTATACAACGCATCCCCGACTCTTTGTAATGGCAATGAAATAAATAATTATTCCTGCATCATGGATTAATTTTTATAATGCAGAATTTGTGAAGCAATTAAAGATGAATGTACTTGTAGAAATAGTAATGGAGCTTGCTTATATTCAAATGGAAAATGTAATTCAATCTTATGTGAATAATTCTTAACAGAAACCACATGCACGGAGAGTAATAAATGTTATTGGAGCTCTTAGGATAAGGCTTGTAGGAAATTTTGTAAACAGCTTATTTTGTAATAAGATTGTGAAGCATTAGATTATGAATGTCATTGGAATTCATATCAATATAAATGTGAATAAGGTGTGGCTGTAATACCTGATCTGAGTGTGAAAATTAATGTCCAAGATATTCAAGGAGAACTAATTTCTTGTCTTATGTTGATATTGATATTAATAATTTGATAAACCCAATGGAATTTCATAATTTAATCATATTCTTAAAAAAAGATGATTCAGATAAATTTAAATTCATTACAAACAGCTAGAAAATGGTCTTCCATTACTTTTTATTTTTAAAATTAATTAAAATATGTTATTGTCTCTATTGTTTTAATGTTTAATCCCTGTTTGGATTTATCTTTGCATAAATTCTTAATTATAATATTTTTATTTAATTTTAGCAATAATTTAATTTAAATTAGTTTTATGATTAGGTAATAGATAATCTCATGATTATAATTCTATATGTATGATTTATGATATATAATTATCTCAATTTAATATTATAGCTTTCACCTCCTCAATTCCATACTTAGCTCTACAGACAGGACAAGCTCTATTTCGATTTTTTTAATTGTCGTCAATGCAAGGTTTACAGAACATATGCAAGCATTTCATCAAAATAACTTATTTTACTCTTTTTTTACATTATTGGCAATCTACCATCATTTTTAAGGATGTCAATAATTCATTATCAGTATCTTTTGATTCTCTATAAAAATGAGATAATATTAATACAATTTCATTTGTAACTTCAAATACTTTAATTTACTCTTAGATTTTTCTGCTTTTTTAATAAATTTAAGATTAATCGACTCACTCAGTTTTTCTCTTTCTTATATAATCTTATTTTCCTCTAAAATTTTACCAACATCCCATTCTTTTTATAACAATTTTTATTAACTTTCCCCATCAGACTTTTACAAATTTCTAATAGATTCCTTATAAATCATTCTTTCATTATCAAACAGATTTAGTAATTTCTTTTATTAATCATTCTGTGATTATAATTATTTAATAGTCTCGTCAGCCGTTTGTATTTTTTATTAAAATTACTATGTTTTAAGTGGTACATCATACTTGTCTTTCTGTTTCGAATTTTATGCGTTCATCCACCTTCTCTTGCATAGCTCTGCTCAGATTCTTTTAGGTTTCATTTACAAGTTTACTTAGATTCTTATTGGTTTCATTGATCGAATTAAATGAATTTGAATTATAATCCAATTCGTCAATTAATTATTGTATTTACTGAATTTTATAATAATATTTATTTACTTTCTTGATATTGTTGCAATCATTGATCTTTGCTTCCAATTACTGTTCTAATCCCTTGACCTTTTCATCTCTCATCTTGACATACCCAACAAATTCTCTAAATCTTTAAATGAATTCATTAGACTTCGTATTTGCATACTCTTGCTCAATTTCATACAACAATTATTTGTGTTTCTCGTATCTGAGAGTCACTTGCTCGATCTTCTCATCCTTAGATAGTATCTTATGAACACTAATATATTATTTCAATTCGTTATTTTAATTCAATAATGTTTGTTTTTAATTTATTATCTCACCCAACTGATTATGTGCTTCTTTATTACGTTCTCTGCATTATTACAATTCAATCTTTAGATCCTCAATCATTTTGGATGAATGTTCTACTTAGGATTTCAATTCTTCAATCAAAGTATTCTGTGTCTAATCATCATTCTATTTAACTTCTATTTTTATTATATCTTGCTAAGAAAACAATTCTCTTATTTTCTACTCGCATTCCAGTTGACACTATTAGATCTGCTGTTGACTTTTCTCTAATAAATCTTTATTGGCCAATTAGACCTAGATTTACAATGGAAATTACCTGTATCAATTATTCTTCAATGTTGAACAGAGTTGTGGTCAAGTAGTTATTCTATTATACCAATTCTGCAAATAACTGAGTCTAAAAGAATTGTTCCTCAGGCAACTTCTATTGCAACTTCAACTCTTCGATCTAATGCAGTAATTGGGCCTTCTCCTCTGAGGATTCCTAAATCAATTTCTTTATATAATCTCTAATTATCTAGGTATGTTTTACTTCTGATTCGATTGAGTTTATTAGTTATTTTCTTCTGGCTGTTGGATCTCTTGTTATTATTATTACAATATTTATGGATGACCATTTACAAGGAAATATTTAATAGAATCAATCTAATTAGCACCACAAAGACATTCAAATTTCTCATCTTGGATATCCTCTTAGGCTACTTTTTTTTGGATGGCCTCCTCATTGTAAGCCATAATGATCCGTATTCTCCTTGAAAGTTAATTACTCAGTTTTTTGTAATGTAATAATTCCTCCGATTAAATCAGCTCTATCTCTGTCTATTCTGGCAACTAGAAACTAGATATATTGGGTTGTTGTATACAGATTTCATATTTTATATTTCCTTCTTTAATTGATCAATTTTAGCAGCCAACATAGTATTTTAAGTTTTCAAAATGTGTTCCCCCAACTCAGTAACTCTTTACGATTCATTCTTCTTCTTAGTTTTCATATTTAAAATTTTTAATATTATTTATATACTTTTTCATATATTGGTTATAATCCAAATGTTTTGGAGGAAAATTTGTGTTTCATAAATATTACAATTTGCATATCGAATCATTCGTGAATCACTCCCGCCAATCCAAAAAGCAACATCCCCATTCTCTCCTATTATAATACTCGAACGGGTCTCTTCCTATTGAAGGACCCTATTACATTTTTAATATTTAAATTAAATAAACTACTAAAATAAATGAATGCCTTTGGTATTAAAAACAATAGATTCCAATAAAAGGCTGCACATAAAAAGCTATTGTCAAAGGAAAAACTAAATAATCATGAAATTCAACAACTAAAACAGTTTCCCTAACAAATATCAAATGAATCTGATAGATTGCAAAATAGAAAAGAATCAGTCACAGTCGTTAGTCCCGCAACTCCAATATCAAAATTTCACGTACCCATTTTCTAACCAGCAAAATTTATTTATGATATTACACATAAAACATAATGAATAACGAATTTATTATATAAATTAAATTCTTATTCTAACCAAAGTATAAGCAGAAGGTCATAAATTTCAATTTCATTTCTAAAGCTTAACTTATATCATTCCAATCTGTTGTATTTATAAACTTAATTTAACCTTAATATACAATTGCTATAGGCCAGAGAGACGAAATGAATATATCAAATAGTGAAAATAACAAAACAAGTAATTATTTATTGTGAAATAGATTCCCTCTCTTTTCAAATAAATTATTGACAACTATTCTCTACAGTAAACTTTCATATCCATTAAAAATAATTTCCATTTTTGGAAAACAAAAAGTAATTTTATAAGTAATAATGTAAAATATATTGTTGATTAGTAAACTACAAAACATGTATTATTTAATTTAAATAATACATGATATGTAATATGTTCCTATCTTCAAATAAGTCTATTTAAGATAATTACTAATAATAATACGATTATAATAGTTATGAATTGAATATAACTCTTAAAACAAAATAGAAGAGAACTGCAGAGATTGATGATATGATTTAAGTTAATAACATATTATACTTAAATTTAGTTTACGTTATCTAGTTATTATTTAATAGATGAATAAAAGTATCTATTAATTTAAAATTTATAAAGTGTTGAACATTTCTAAAAATTTTTGATTGAAAATATCTTCAAATTTAAGATTTTATAAAATTGTTATTTTTATACTGATTCATAATCAAAGATATTTCTCAACTCGATTTATATTAAATAGTCTTAAACTTTAAAAATGAATAACATATAATTCATAAATAAATTATTTCACAATGAAAATAGAAAAATACTGGATACCTGGATATATATTCCTCTTAAAATCTCAAATGATCATATTTTTTGTATGAAAATAGCTTAAAGCATCATATGTTTTAATGTAGCTGTTTTAAAATAAACATCTTCTTTTAGGATAGTTCTTTTATTTAAATAGATAAACTTCAATTGTTTTAATTAAAGAAATTTAATGTTTGGCAAAACAATAAAAATTTAAGGATCTGTTTATTTAAAAGGAAAGGATAAAGATAACTTTGAGACTACACTAAGGAAATAATTTGATGCACTAACAGTCAAAAAGATCTTTGAGGATTCTGAATAATGTATGTAAGAGAAACTAGTTGGATCAAAGATGGTCATTTATCATACAGATGAATATCCTGCCTTTGTTGATGGCACAGGAAAGGAGGATTATGTTCCATCATGTAAATATTTATCGAGATGTTTGATTAGTGTTTGTTGTTGCTGAGTATCCTAGATTAATTGGTACATTGATATTAAAAGACGGAATTGATGAAGCAGCAGTACTTAAGGCAGGAAAAGTCTTATGGACTTAAATAAGTAAATTAAGAGAAATTGGGTGAATTCAAGAAGGATGCTATTAAGAAGTTGATAAATCATGAAAAGAAGTAATTACAATAGAATATCTAGATTATTGGCAATTATAGCTATTGGTTGTGATTCTATAGATTTAAAGAAAGAATAGGAGAAGGGAATAGCTGGATATATTTTGCATAAACAAGGGGATAAATTATGGGAGCATGGTCCAAAGGAATTGTGTCAACCAATTGAACCAGAAAACTTTGATGAAGTCTAAGAAATGAAAACATAAAACTATGAGGAATACTCAGATGATGATATTGATTTGAATATGATTGCACCTGGAGCTAAGAAACCAGCAGCAAAAAAAGAATAGAAAAAAGCAACCAAAGCCAAACCAGTTTAATAATAACAATAACAGTAATAGCAATAATAAGTTAAACAATAATTCTCAGATGATAGTGATGATGACAATAAACACAAAAAAGGCGCTTAAAATAAGTAATAATAATAGAAACAATAACAATAATAATAATAAGTTGGAGGTGTTCCAACAAAAGTAATGGATGAATACATAAAGGAATCCCTTTTAAATGCTTGTAAGATTGGAATTAATGATAAATAATTACCTTTAGAAGGTTAAGTATTCTATGAGAAGTATATGCTTGCATTTAAGAAACTAGGAATTGAATTAGATCTAAAGAATTAATGATATTAAAAGATCGGAAAGTAAATGCTTATATATATATTTTGATAGATTTTTGTAGACTATGTAAAAGGATGGTTTGATTGAATACAAGGAAGTCAAAAAGGGAGGATAACCTTCAATAACTAAAATTGATAGATAACATGAATAAATTACTGATTGGGAGCCAACCGTATTAAAGGCAGCAAAGAAAGGTGATGAAGAGAAGGAAGAAAAGAATCAAGTTGCTTAATATAAATAGAATATCGAGGTCACTGATCTCTTTCTGCCGGTTGGTCCTTTGGTGAAATTATTCGCTAAGGAAGGGGATGACAATTAAAAAGTTGAACCATTAACAAGAGAATAATATATTTCATTATTGAATTAATACATAAAGAAGAATTTGAAGTAGGAGAAGAAAATGATAGTGTTAACAGAAGATTTGGTTAATGAACTAGGAATAAAAGAACATTAATCTGATAGTGAAGATGAATAATAAGAAGAATAAGATAAGGAAAAAGAGAAAGAAAAAGAAAAAGAGAAGGAATAGAAAAAAAAATAACCATAAAATTAGATTACTTTAGAAAGATTATACAAGAGGATTGAGGAACTTATGTAGAGGAGTTACAGAATTAAAAATTTGAGATTAAACTAAAGTGAAGTTAAATAAGGCGAATTCAAGGGGTTGCAATTAATAGCTGAGAAATAACATAATCAATAAATAAATAGAGTAGTAGGTTTGGAATATTTCGGATTTGATCATTAAGGAAAGAATGAAGATATGTATAGTTTTGCATATGTGGTTAAGCAAATGCAGGAAACATTCCATTGTGGTATTAGCATCCATGATGGAGCGGGTAAAAATGCCGGAAAAGTACAATTTATATAATAATAAAAGGAAATACTTTTACAGAAAAATGTATTTGACTAATTGCCTGATTATTGTGCCAACATCCTGAAGATAGATAGTAAATATATCCATGAGTAAAATAAGTTGGGAGGAAACAAGAAAAAGTAAGAAGGAATGACCAGGTAGTGAAGTCATTAATTTATTTAAGTGAAGTCATCATAATATAATATAAATTTATTAATAAGCTCATCAATTATTATAAACTTATTCCATGCAATACAAAATACTATTAGTGTTATTGGCAACCGCCAGTTGCTTCAATTACCTTCCTGAAGTAGAAATAGATTTGAGCGCCCCTCCTAGACAAAGATGGAAGGAGTCAGTCAGAACAGTATTGACGTTATATGGATATGAAAATTCCTTTGGACCAGTGTTCCAGTTTCACAACGAAAATACTTTCAATATCTTGGCTCCTGAAGATTATACTACTATAGCAAAAGCAATAAGAAGGAATTTCCCAGAATATTCAATAGAATTAGAAGGAATCGTCGAAGAATTCAATAGACCAGAAGTTACATTTGAGTATTTGGCTGCTTGGGCATACTTCCATGAAATCGGTCACATTACAAGCAGGTACTACTGAATGCACATGGAGTGTTATTATCCTATGGAGATCAAATATTTCATGGGAGAAATATGGATTAATATCCAGGTTAAGCAAGAAATATCGTATTACATTTGAAAATTAAGAAAGACGGAAAGTATATAGGAGAATCAGTTGATTGGTATTGGTTCAAAGTTGGATTTGTTACATTGTTGAAATATAATGTCGCCTCTCTTGAGGAGAATTGGAGATTTGGTGATCCCTTGAGCAAAGATCAACTCTTGACTTTCATCCAACAAGGTGTACCTTCATTGGCATGGGCATATAGAGAAGTATTGGTGAATGATAAACTAAATACTTTCGATTCTGTTGTATCACATCTTGAATAAAACAAAGTTGCATGTGCTCTTTACAACATTATTGGAGGAACTGCAAAAGATTAAGGAGTGATTATTTCAAGAGATCCATTTGAGACTTATCCAACAATATCATTAAGTAATATACCTTAAGGTTAGAACGGATACAAGTACTTGGTTTAGACAAATTATGACCATTGGTTACCAGATCCTTAAGATGATCAAAGAAGAACCATTGCAGAAAATTTGTTAGCAAATATGCAAAATAATCTATTCAATGAATTTGGAGTCTACTCTGTTATGGACACTTATCCTATCCACAATGAAGGAACATTCTATACAGTGGTCATGAATGCCAAATACAATAGATTAATAGCTTTTGGATAACCAAGTATCACATTAACTGATGAATGAGATAATAATATAAAAGTGATGAAGTCATCATCGATAATAATATAAAATTACTTATATTTAAATATGTTATTTATAACTAATAATATGAAGCTTGCAGTAATCCTGTTGATATTAGCGACAACATACGCTTACACAATAGTTCCAACACTAGATATAGACCTAGATGGCCCAGCAAAATAGAGATTCTAACCAGCTGTTCAATTAGTCTTGAACACCTATGGATATGATGCTTCTTTTGGTGCTTTCTTTTCTTATCACAATGAAACTACCTTCAAACATTTAACATCTAAGGACTATGCTATATTAGCTACTTCCGTAAGAACTTATTGGCCTTAATATGCTTAAGAACTTGAAGGAATCGTGGAAGCTTTCAATAGATCTGATGTCACATTTGAGTATATGGCTGCTTGGGCTTATTTCCATGAAATCGGTCACTCCTTATCAGTCAATATTAAAGAATGCACCGCCATATTATTATAGACTAAAGATGGTATTATTCATGGAAGAAACATGGACCAGTCTCCAGATGCCGGTAGATTACTCGTCATTCATTTCAAATTTATAAAAAATGGTCAATATATTGGTGAATCTGTTGATTAATATTGGTTCAAGACAGGTTTTGTTACCATGTTCAAATATGGAGTTGTTTCCTTGTAAGAAAACTGGAGATATGGACACTATTTGCCATTATTTATGTTATTGAAGAAAATCTCAGCAGGAACAACATCACTAGGATGGACATTTAGACATGTAAATATTTTTAAAATATATTTAGATCCTTGATTCTGACATTAATAATTTCGATTAAGCAGTTACATATTTAGAAAATGTGATTGTAGCATGCTCACAATACAATATTGTTGCCGGTACCAAATTCAATTAAGGCGCTATTATTTCTAGAGATCCAATCTCAACTTTTCCAACCTTATTCTTCAATAACACTGGATTAGGAAACGATCAATTCTAATATATGGTTTAGACTAATTATGACCATTGGCACAAAGACCCTAAAGGTGATTAAAGAAGAACAATTGCATAAAATTTATTGGCTAATTTAACTAGCACTATGCAAAATGAATTGGGAGTTTATAGTGTTATAAACACATATCCAATTCATAATGAAGGTACCTTTTACACAGCAATTATGAATGTTGCTACAGGCAGATTTAATTACTTTGGATAAGAAGGAATTACTCCATTTAATGATCTAGAGTGATTCTTTATTAAATCATAATAAAATCAATAATCATCATTCTGGGGCTATCTATTTTTTGTTTATTTTTTTCCTGGCTTACTTCCTAAATTTCAATATATCTTTATATGCATTCATTTAAGTAGCAAAAGACACAGGTTTAACTTCCAATATTGTTGGATCTTTATTCTTATATTTCTTGATAAATTCTGCAGGATAGAGAAAATATTTAATGTAAAGAGTCATATTGCTTAAAAATTTAGGATGGTACTTAGTTGATATTTATAAATTGGCTAAATTGTTATGAGGTTAATAGAATTTAAAATTTTTCTTGTTTTCGAAATTTTCTACTTCTTAAAAATTGTTGTTTAATTAATTATTAAGTTCTAAAACTAATAAATCTAATTTAGTTTAATCCTAAAAAGTTAAGACATTACTTTTTCTTTGTATTCTTTATTAAATTAAATTAAGATTTTATTTTTGAACTACCATGGTCTGAAACTTCGGTTGAATTCGTGGTTTTTCAACTTCTTTGGAAAACTTCAGTTGTTTTAATCTTTTTATAAAAGAAAAAGCTTGTTAAAATTTCACTTTTACCTTTTTAGCCTTATCCTCTTATTCATGATTATCAATAGTATTATTGTTATTGTTATTGTTATTGCTATCATTATTGTTATTATCATTTAATTTTTTTAATGCTGATTTCATAAAGTTCTATTTCATAGGACTAATCGCTGATTTTAAAGGATCAGATTATTAATTTGTTACTTAAAGTGCAGTTTCCTTAATAATTTCTGAATCTTAAGATTATGCCTTTTCGTTAGAATTTTATGCATTTGTTTTAGGTGAATTAGACAAACTAGTAATTGATAATTTAGGTTATTATTAGTGTTCGATTAAATACGAAGAAGAAGATTTTCTGGGAATCATAGGAGAAATACTGGATTTTCTTGCTGACAGTTTTTTCATTTGATTCATTTCTAATAGTCTGGTAGTTCTTGTTTATCTAGGACCCTTTGATGAGGATATCAGTGATGGTCTCTATAATTCCTAAACAATCTCATCCTTTTCGTCATCAGAACTAGATGAATGTTAAGGAGATCCTTAAGCACCACTATTGAAATTTGGACTAGTTGCATTATTTTCGATATCTAAATCATATAGCTAAGTTTCTTGCCAAAAATCATCCTAGATGTATTCAGCTGTTTCTTTGAGCAATTTGTAATCCAATAAAGCATTATTATATATGTAACGATTTTCATTTTTGTTTGCATGTTTTCGAACAGTCCATTCTCGAACTTATTCTTTAACAAAGTTATAAGATTTAATAATTCTCTCTTTATCTGGACAAAAGTGAAGTAAGGGGCAATCTTTCGAACGATGCTCTCTCGACTAGCAAACATAACATGAAATATCTAAACTTTTTAGGGATAGCTTGGAGAAATTGTATAATAGATTATCTCTAATCTAACAAAACTTTTCCCTGTCTTCTTGGAACTCTTTTAGGATCTTTAAGAACGCTAATCTGGGTAAAATGAGTAATTTAGTGAAGCCAACACTCTTATACACTTCTTTTTACTCTTAACCAGTAATAAATTCATATAATCCAAAGATACATCCAGGAGTCAGTTTGTGGAATGTTGTGCCAGGAGAAAATATCTGATCAGATAACTGAACTTCAACTTCACCTGATTCAATAAATGTAGGCATAATTATTCTAATAGGAGTCAGGTTCTAAGGAGTAATCAATTATGTTTTCTGGTTGGATGGAAACAGTTCTGATCTTCTTAACTAGAGCCTTTTTGAATTCATGAGAAAAGTTTTTCTTAAAGAGAGAGCAGTTATTGAGAACAACAGAATTGGCTTCAACCATTAATTCTTCTCTTAATTATTCTGACAATTAGTCAATAATCGCTTATTCTTCATTGGATTATTGAGTATTTTCCATTTCCCAGTAATAATTTAAGTATTCTCTAATTTAAGATTGTAATTAGAAACTGATTTTCTTTTTAGTCATATAAGTGTTAATAATTCTTAATTTCTAGAGCTTCTATTCGCTATATTTGGAAATCTCATCAATAATGGCTCCCACAGTATTAACACTATAAGGCAACTGAATACTAAATATCATTATAAAGATAATGCAAATAGTATATTCTAGGTTGGCTGAAATTAGATGAATTATTACATTAAGGGGTTAAATCGCCATATCCAACAGTAAACATGGTAACAGTACAAAAGTAGAAGGATCTTAAATATCTTTCAGCCCAATTATTATCTTCTAAGTGATATTTGTCTATCCAACTTGATCCTAGATATTATAGACCGTAATTGCCTACCTAAGTATATATTTGATATCATACTCCATACCAAATGCAAGTTGCAACATGTAAAATAAAGATTAAAAATATTATCAATTTTACTAACTCTAAAATTGAGGCAGTAACCTTTGTCAAATTTAATACTTCCTCACTCAATCTAATTAATTTAGTAATGTTTTGGTACTAACCAACAAATGTTAATAAACCAACCAAAATATATTGCTTTTCATTTCTATATTCATCCCAATCTAAAAACATTAACACAAATAAGTATATGACTGATATGGCATCACAACCATATGCTTTACTTATGACGTGATTAAAGATCTTAGATCTTTCATTTACAATAAGTCCAAATTAGTAATAGGCAGTGTTCAAATTGAGTAGAATATCCAGCATCAACAGTATTGTCATGATGACTGTTAGGATGAACAATTCATTTGAGTATAAAAATTCTTGCTCAAAAGATATATCCATAGGAATCAAAATGATGAAATATATACGAGAGAATGATAAACAACTGTCCCATAAAATCTTTTTTCTCTCTTCAGGCTAAAATATTCTGATATTTTAATCCCAATATTCAACTTTTTATTTAATTGTTTAACCTATTCTATTTATCACTTTTTCAACATTCTAACTAATTGAGGGCACCTTTGGTAGATTCATATTTTTAATCATTCCCAAAGGCCTGAAATTAAATTATCTCTGACCAAATATTTTTGGATCATAATTAGAAGCAGAGTCATTTAGAATATCTAAATGATGTTTCTGTAATCTACTAAAAAGATGCATGGAACGCATAAACCTATTAAAGAATCTTCTTATCTATAGATATCTCATCATGTCTTCCCCCACCGTTGATTATGAATTTCTCAATTTTGAAAAATTAGTTTAAAACGAGGTTTGAGTACCACCGCTTGGATTAGCCTTAGCAATCAATATTTCATTGGTGTTGCAACCTTCAAAACTTGGTGACATTATTGGACTCATATTAAAACTAATTTGTTTATCTTTAGAATTAGGTGGAGGCATTGCATCCTCATATTGTCTTTTTAATTCGGGCACTGGAAAGCCGTGCTCTGATAAAGACTTTTGACTCAGGAAATCGACATATTCATCTTTTGGAAAATCATTTATGATGAAGTTATTAACTCCTAATTCTGTTTCTAAAGTTAGATGCATAAAGAAAATTAAATTGAAAGCAATTAATTAATATTTTATTTTACCAAATCAAATACTTAGCATTGTATTACACTTATACTGATAAACTTAACACATCTCAATAAGGAAATATCGAAAAAGATGATTCAATTTAATATTTTTACATTTAAATTAAAAAACTGCATTCTTTCTCCATTATCGCTTAAGTATACCATTATTGAAACTCTTATTATTATTATCCTATCTGACTGACTTTTAACGATTTTTAATTTTAGGTCTGTTAAATTTCTGTTAATCTCATTTTGAAATTTCTCCCATAATTTCTCAAAGCTTCATTGAAATATGGCTCAAAAATGCAATTGTTTGGATTTAAAATCTTGAATCCAATAAATTATTTCTCCTTTTAATTCAAATCCTTTTTTGGATAACTATCAAAAAAACAATTTTAATTTTATAAGAAGTATTTATCATATTTGATCATTTTTTAAATATGAAATATTATTTTAGAAATCGCTAATATTTCTTGATTAATCTATATTATGTTATATTAAGTAAAATAAAGATTATACACACATAATGTTTTCGAAATATATTAGGAATAATAATTTTCAATTTTATTCAATTTATATCAGACTGAAACTTTATATAGTATGAATTTCGAAATACATTGGAATCCAAAAATAATAAATGCATCTTAAATAATTGAGTATTTTTCGTTTTTGTTTTACTGAATATTTTTGCTAGAATTATTAAAGTCTTAGATATCTAAGACCGATGCAATACCTATTTAGATAAAAATGAAAACATTTTGATAACCTAGGAGATAGTAATTTAAATTTATAATTAGATCCTTTTATGATACTTTCGTTTACAAATCCAAAAATTCTTAAGTAATTTGTTAGCAATAAAAATAAATTCAAGATCAGATAGTATACAATCAACGGTGTAAAATGATATGAAAAATTAAATATATTCTTATCGAAAAATTCTAATTATTAATGGTCATATGTAAAAATTCAAATGTATTAGATTTTTTATGGATTATATGAAACTTCGTGTTACTATTAAGTATATCAACAATTTAAAGGAAGATTTAAATCAGAGTAATAATAAATAATTAGATTGAATGATCATTTTTATAATATAAAAAACTGATTTGCATTGGAATATCAATATTTTTTTGGTAAAGACTTTTTAACATTTCACTATAAATAATTCTTCTAAATCAATTCATAATAGCCTTATGTCTTATTACCTAAGCTAGATGAAGCTGATAATAGGAGTATTCGAAAATAAAATTTTTATATTTAGCTCTGAAATGAAAAGTTAAAATAATTGTACAATGTTATTATATTGGATTGTATTAGAATAAAAAATTGAATTCAATAAGTGTTGAAATTATAATCTATTTAATGAGAATATTATTTATACTAAAGATTTTTAACAGAAATTATAAATCTATGGCATACATATATATATTTTTTTTGAGTATGTTTCGAGTAATAATATTCTTATTTTAATAATGAGATTATTATATTTTATTAGTTGTTATCAAATAATTTAAAAATAAAAATGAAAATAATTTAGCTCATTATTTGTTTGTTCTGCACTTCTCTAGGACTCTTACAATCCTATAATTATAAATAATATTGGGATATTTGTTGAAATTATAATAAAAATATTAAATCTCTTATGTCATTCCACCCCAATGTGAGTGAAATAAGATTAACTAATTAATCTCCCAATAGAAACTTTAATCCTATGAATTCCTCTATGCAATTCATACCAGATCTTAATCTTGACAACTAACCTGATGACTAAATTTCTCCTAGAAAGGAAATAATCAAGAAAGGAATTTTGAAGACTTTTTATTATTAGGTATTATGATATATAGATGTAGGATGTGAAAAGAAGAAAGCTGATTGGATGTAATATATATGTGAATGAAATGAATGAATAGTAATTATAATTATCTAAAAGAGGATGTATATTTTATTACAATAACTAAAGTGACTTGCAGGATATGCATGAATGAGGAAGAAACTTCAAGATTTATTATGCCTTGTGCATGCAAAGGAAGCCTGTAATATATACATGAAGAGTGTTTAAAACTTTGGATCCTTTAGAAAAATGGCATAGAAGATGTATTTAAAGACAGAGTACTTATTAAAATTAACGAATTAGATTAAATGTGAATTATGTTCACAAAAATTTCGTATGCGAATGCAATTACACAATCACTTTGAGAAATCTCGATTTTGGGAAGTACCAAAACACTAAAAGATATGTTGGCTTATTTAACTTTTCTTTATTTTTGCTATAATTAGTTCTATTGCTGGTACGAAATATATACTATGTAGTATTATTTACTAATTTTGGGCTATCTAACATAGGAGTAGATGCTGTCATGACTTTGTTGATAGTGCTGTGTTTAATTTTAATAGTATATCTTGCTGCAAGTGTTATTGCATTTCATTAAGTAGAAATGATTGAGAATTGGACAATAAGTAATTATCGACCAAGAAGAGATACGAAATAGGGTAGCTTTTTTTAATTATAATCTTAAATGGGATAAAGTGTAACTGGTAGTCCTATAGTTCGGAAAAAGACAGCATCGGTTCATCCGAATGGACTAAATAACTTATAAGTCATTTAAGTCAACTAACTCATGACTAGTACAAATATCTCTGAATAATGATTTATTTATATTATTAAATTGCACAATACTTTTGAATTTTGATTAATGGCTGATGATAGGAATGATGCAACTTCTTAGAATAATAATTTCATCTTTTTGAATACTTCTGAGTAGGGAATTAACGAAAATGTTGAAAATTAGAAATTCAGAAAAAAAATATTAAAGACTATTTATTTGAAAGTAAAATAGTGAATTAGTCTAGAGGATTTGATTAGGAAAAAAACAGTTGGTTGTAGAATATATACAAATGAGTTAAATGGACTATTTCCATAAGAAATAAGTATGAATTTAATTAATTAGATAAAATTTGCAGAATATGTATCTAAGATGATTAATCCTCTCAATTCATTTCACCATGTAAATGTAAAGGTTCAACAGAATTTGTACATGAAGAATGCTTAAAAATGTGGATTTTATAATAATTCGGTGTGAATAAGATATTAAATCGAGAAGTAGTATTTTAATAAATATATTTTTAGTTATACTGTGAAATTTGTAAATATAAATTAGAATACAGAGTAAAATTTGTTAATCGATTTGACTTTTTTCAATTCAGAAATTAAAAATTGGCAACAAAACTGTGCTGGGTCATTCAGTTTATCATTATGGCATTATGCATTTACGCTTAAATTACAATTATCTAAAGATTTGGAATCAATTCTTTATCAACTATCTCAATATTTATAGCAATCTGTTTGGTGGTTCTTGTGATAATTATACAATTTTCCTTTAGTTTTTTGTCAGCTATTAAAATAGAAATGATGGAAAAATGGGAATTTCATAATTATAAGCCTTCTTGTAGAATTTTGGATGGTCAACTTGAAATGCCTGGCAATTTTTTGAAGGTCAATTTGATTCACTGTCTTTGAGTATAGATTCTTCTAATATTGCGCTTAAAATATATAATATTAAATAAATTATTAATTTATGTCGAAATAGTAATGGACACTATTGACTACAGACACTTAAAAACTATAATTATTTGGTATGCAAGCCAAAGTCACAACAAATTATGGTGATGTATTTCAAGGCCTCATATATTATTGCGATGAATCAATCATTATTTTAAGTATGATTGAAATAGGAATATAATAGAAAATGAAGAGGACTTCTTTTTAATCAATCAACAATAAATATAAGATTTGCAAACTATTGATATTCAAGATCCTAAAGTATACGTTCCAATAAGCGTAGTAAACGTTATCAAATTTATTGGCAATCGATTTGGCAGCTATGGCATAAGAGATGATAAAAAAGGAGATGAAAGAACCTCATTAACAATTATTCGATCATCTATAAAAATTGTATAGAGATGTTGATTGGAAAGATTAGGAGATCATTATTCCATCTATTTCGATAAGGATTTCACCGCCTTATAAATCAGGTAATATTATTAGTGATTTTACTCATAGATAATATCTCAGGGGATAATAAATTGGGAGTTGAAAGACTAAGGAAAATTGTAAAGTATATAATAATGAACTTTTTATTTAGGTTGATAAATATGCCAAAAATTTTTGAATATAGTTAAACATTATATAGATAAATATAATATTTTTACATTGCAATTTTGCAATATTTAATTTTATGAATAATCGAGAAGAGGAGAAACAGACCCAATAAGGAGACGATACGTAAATATTTAATTTAAGTAAGAGCTAATAATAACGATGAGGAATAGAGAAAATAATATTTATAGGATTTGTAAAAACGAGTAAAAGAATCTAGAAAACAACCTGATTGCTTTGAATGCTGTTTTGCATATTGGTTATTTATCTTATTAGGATTTGTGTTTAGACAACTCTTCTAAAAAAAAGTAGATGAAACACCTGAGGGCTGCGATTTCATTGGATTAATTATATCAATACTTTTGATTGTGTTTTCATTGTCTGCTTTTTGCAGATTTATAGATGGCTTTTGCATTTTAATACCTTGCAAAAATACTAGTTGCTTTCATTTATCTTTAAGATTCCACGATCTCAACAACCTTATCAATTTTTAGACATGCAAATGGGGTTTAATTATATTGACCATCATATGGCTACTCAATTATAGCTGCATTGTATTTTGGCCGATGTTTATCTTCCTATTGATAACTTGGATATTGGTATTAGTATGGAAGGCAATGGAAAATGAATGATAGATTTATTGAATAATAATTTTAAAACCAAAAAGAAGCAAAAACGATTTTTAATAATAATATAAATTATGATTAAGGCAATTCTCATCTGTGTCTTATTATTATCAGTAACTGCAGGACATGTAAGAAAAAGTCACAAAGCAGTCCATAATAAAAAAGCAAGGACCTTTAATAGTGCATTCATTGAATTTGAAAATTTGGGAGATAAAGATTACCATTTGAGCGCAAAAGAAGCATGTAATTACTTAATTCTCTATATTCTTATTAGAACATTGGGCTCAAATTACATCAGACGTAGAGACTTAAACCAAAAAGCACACCTCATTCACAGAAACTCATGCTGAATATGTTCCAGGAGTTGTTGGAGAAGTACTCGATCTTTCAAACAATGCTGGAGTTATTTCCTACACAGCAACCGACATCAATGGAAATATTCTTGAATCTGAGACAGGAAGTGATTTGGCAAGTAAATTGAATGCTGCCTATCTTGAAACGACCTCAAAAATTTAGGATTCAACCGCAGAATCTCTTTGAGATTTATTATATAAACATAAACAAATATCATAATTAAAATCTTTAGAATTTATAGCCTTTTCTTTAAAATATCGATTCGTAAGAGCTCAAATACAAATACAGTTTAATTTAATCTATAAATTTTCACTGTTATGTGTAGTACACAAAAGCGTATTATAGCATCAGAAATTATTATACTAAAAATAAAGAAACTTGTTATTAAAGTGATAAATTAATTTTTTGATTTCAAGAATTAAATGAACAAACAGAAATTATGTTTGCCTCATCTCTTTGTCCACTTAAAGAAGTAAGGGTATTTGTATTGTATTTTGAATAAGTAGATAAAAAGTCAAAGTTTTTTAATCTCACTTAATTAATTTTGCGAAAATGATTGTTTTTGAAACAATAGTTTTAAAAATTAAATATTATTTAAGTATAGCAAAAAAAATAGAGTTCTTGTGTGACTATGATATGATCGAAGTTAGAGAGATTTAAAAAACGAGAGTTCTAAGGGGGCTATTTTCATTTGTTGAAATATGTTCATTTCATTTGTTTACTAGGCTTAAAAAAAATTTGAAAAATAGGAAATTCCAACGCTATTTTGAGGGAAAACTATTTTCTAATTGAATTATGGATGAGATCTGAAGACTGATTGAAATATTTAAACTTAAAAGTTCAGAAGGGATTTTGTAGCAATTGAAATAGAATGACTATTCATCATTTTAACAGAAAATTATAAATGTTTATAAATTATAATCCTAATGATGAGTGGAAAAAACGAATTTTCTAGTTATTTTAAGGAATATGATAATACAATATTCATTATTATTTTTATTTTATGAATAATAAAACGCTGCTTATAGTGTTATTACTAGCTTGCACTTTAGGAGGTATGAGTTGATCGTTAAATATAGCTTAATAATTCATTTAATTGGGTAGCAATTTAAAATTGCATAGTTTAAGTGAATTGCATCAATTGGAGACTAATTCCCTGGAATGTAGTCCGACATTGGGTGAAGTAAGCAAATCAATGGATACATGGTCTGAAATCTTAGAAAATCAAGACCAACTCAATGCAGATTCGCATAATCTTTAATAATTAAAGGTGGCATTGCAAGATTTTCGAGGAGACGGTTACGAAGATGTCGAACCAAGTAAATAAATTAATTTAAATTTTAGTATTGTTGCAATTCAGAAATTCATTTTCAGATATCTTGAGTCAAATAAGCGCACACCATCTACAAATTACCCCTTATCAAAGATGGAGAAAGGATAGTGCCATGGAATTACAAGGAGTAGTAAGTTTATTAGATACTGCTGAGAATGATAAAGAATTACAAATGTGCTGCGATAGAATAGAATAATTGATTAATAGATTAATGTCAGAGAGAGAATAAGTGAGAAAGCAATGTTAAAAGGGACCCTAGGTAAGATTAATTTGAATATTATTAGATTACAATCAACATTATAAATTCTAAAGCAGACCAAGTGAGAGAAGTTACAAAAGAATGTTCAGATGGTTAAGGAACTATTATAAGAATTAAACCGCTTGAAGATGATAAACAAGTAGTCCCAGGAAAACCTGATGGTCAATAACAAGGAAATGAAGAAACTAAGAAACCTGTCCAACCTATCTAACCAATCTAACCAACATAACCAGTCCGACCAGGTCCAGCTGATAGAGTTCCAGAAGGAGATGATTAATAGGAATAAAGTGTTTCTGAACCAAGTAGTACAACAGATGAAGAGGATGATGAGGATTCCACAAATAAAAAGAAACCAGCTGACTTTACCAATCCAGATCCTGTGGTATAGAAGGAAAGAGAAAGTCAAGAACCATTGACTGAATATGGTTACGGATATTGGGCTAAATTTTTATTGGCTTATCCTAAGTTCTTACCGAATGGAAAAGATGCTCCTTGGTATTTTGTCTCTAGATTGAGTGCAAATAAGAAAGATGAAAATATCAATATGGGAGATAGATTGTTGGCTGTTTGGTTGGGTAAAGGATATTATCATTTCACAACTTGTGATTAACCAAAGAATCAACCAAATGTTGCTCAAAATGTTAATTATCCTGAAGATTTTGATGGTGTTTGGACTTATATTTACTATTCATACAGTGTTGAGAAAAAGAGAGCTGTTGCTTTTATCAAATTTGGAAATGATGATCTTAAAAAGGTTACTCATGATGTTTTGAATCCATCAACAAAATGGGTTAGATTCACTATTGGAGGTAAAGATTAAAATAGATATCCTGGCTTCAATGGTTTAATCTAATAAATTTATTTCAGTACTAAACCAGGTGTCTTCCTTGATTCTGAAGATGATGTTATTGGTAAATTGTAAGCATAAAAGAAACAACCAAAGGATTTCTTACCTGAATTAATTACTTATAAGGTGGTCTCAAATCCATAATAAAGAGATCCCGATACCAAAGAAATTCTTTCTATTGTTGGAACAACAAAAAATCCAAAGTTTCCACATGAATATGCTTTCAGTGGTTGGTTCAAATGGGAAGCACCAAAATAACAATAAGATTGGCATAATATCTTCAGAGTTCAAATACAACAACCATCAACTGATAAATTCTTGGGAGATAGAACATTATCTGCCTGGGTAGGAAAACAAGATGGAGGTATCATTCATTTACCAACCTATACATTTTCTAATTTGGAAGGTGGTGGTAATCCAAATGTGATTAGGAATATCCCACACTAAAATAGACACACTGAATGGTTCTTTGTTTATTTTGGATATTCAAGACCTTAGAAGAAGGCTGTTGCTACAATTCAATGGAAACAATCAACTGAAAAATAAGAATATGAAAACATCAGACACTTCCAAGTTCCTAAGTTCTACATTTATGTAGGAAAAGACAAATAATTCCCAGGATTCAATGGTAAAGTTGCATTAGTTGCTTTCAACGTTGGAGAAGGATCATTCAAACCTAGCAATGACTTTACAGGAAAAGGTGATCCCTTTAGTTTTGTGACTGGTAAAAAGAAATTGATTGGAGTTCAACCAGAAATAGACACTGAAGAAGATCCTGAAAAATAAAAGAAACCATATAAAGCAGTTGATGATGTAGAGACTGATGGTTTGACTAGACCAAGTTCAAGCGAAGAAAATAAACCAGTCATTGAAGAAAATTAAGAAGATGAAAACGAATTAGTCGAATATGGTTATGGATTTTGGATGAGATTCTTAACTGCTTACCCTGATAGATTATTGAATGGAAAGAATGCTCCATGGTACTTTGTTTCTAGATTAACTTCAAATATGAATTACAAAAATATTGATATGGGTGACAGATTACTAGCCATTTGGTAAGGTTAAGGATATTACCATTTCACTACTTGTGATTAACCAAAGAACCAAGCCAATGTAATTCAAAATATCAATTATCCAAATGACATTGAAGGATTGTGGACATACGTTTACTATTCATACAGTTCAGAAGCTAAAAAAGCTATTGCCTTCATCAAATATGCAGATCAAGAACCAAGAACAATCTTACACTCAGTTCAACATCCCGCTGCCAAGAAAGTCAAATTCATTTTGGGTGGTATGGATAATAAATAATATCCTGGATTCAATGGTTTATTTAGTTAAGTCACATTTTCAGCTAGACCAGGAGTATTTTTGGATACAATTGAAGACTTTTCAGATTAATTAAAAAGAACAATAATACCAAAGTAAGATTTGGATTAATTCTACAATCATGAATTAGTTTCTGATATCATTTCTAGAAAACCAAATGACATTCCAGACTATGATGAAATTGGTGGTGGACAAGAAATGTTCCCACATGAATATGCCATTTCAGGATGGTTCAAATGGGAACAAACTTAATAATAGGTTTGGCACAATGTTTTCAGAGTTCAAATAAAGAAGCCATCCACTGACAGATTCTTGGGAGATAGAACATTATCTTGTTGGATTGGTACTGCTTAAGGAGGTATCTTACATTTCCCAACATACACATACACAAATATGAATGGAGCAGGTAATCCAAATATGGTCAGCAATATCCAACACAAGAATAGAATTTTCGATTGGTTCTTTGTTTACTTTGGATATTCAAAAAATTAATAAAAGGCATTTGTCGGAGTTAGATTTGCATCAGGACTTGAAACCTTAGAGTATAACAATGTCAATCATTATTATGCACCTAAATTCTACACATTCGCTGGCAAAGACTTGCACTTCCCAGGATTGAATGGCAAATTGGCATATGTGAACTTTAACTTAGGAGATGGAACATTCAGAAAGACTCCAGATTTCAAACATCCAGATGACATCTTTGGATTACAAAAGGGTGAAATCAACATCCTCAAAAAGCCAGATTAAAAGAAAGTACAACCAGAAGTTGATAAGGAAACTGGAGAAACTTAAATTCCAAATGCAGTATCTGATAATACACCCAAAGTTACTAAGGAATTCAAATCAGAATAACCTCTTGCTGAATATGGTTACGGATTTTGGATGAGATTCTTAACTGCTTATCCAGTCAAATTGCCGAATGGAAAGAATGCACCTTGGTATTTCATTTCAAGATTAGCCAACAGACCTAATTATGATAATATTGCTATGGGAGATAGAACTTTGGCTATTTGGTAAGGACAAGGATATTATCACTTCACCACATGCAATTTACCAGGACAAGTCAATGTAATTAAGAATGTCAATTACCCAGCTGATATTGAAGGATTGTGGACATATGTCTACTATTCATATAGTAGATAAGAGAAGAAGGCAGTTGCATTCATTAAATTTGGTGCAACAGATCCAATTGATGTTGTTCACTAAGTTACTCATCCAGATAATAATTATGTTAAATTCATTTTGGGAGGTAAAGACAATAATAGATATCCTGCATTCAATGGTTAATTCTAATCAGTTGTTCACTCTGCTTCTCCTGGAGCCTATATTGGATCCCTTGATTAATTCAAGGCTTTCCTTGATAAACAACCAAATCCTTTAGGATCTAAAGTTCCTTTGACCACAACCCCACTAGTTGATAGTTAAATCACAAGAAATCCAGGAACTCCAGGAAATACATAAACTGTTGAAGCTCCATTCCCTAAAGAATACGCGTTCTCAGGTTGGTACAAATGGGAATAACCAACACCCTAATAGGCATGGCACAATCTATTCAGAGTCCAAATCAGTTAGCCATCAACAGACAACAGTCTTGGTGATAGAACTTTAGCAGGATGGGTTGGAAGTGGAGCAGGAGGTATCATTCATTTGACAACATACTCATACAAGAATATGAATGGAGCTGGTCCAAATAATCTACCATAAAATATCAATCATAAAAATAGACATTTTGAATGGTTCTTTGTTTACATGGGATATTCAAAGAATGATAAAGCAGCTTATGCATATGTCAAATGGAGAGATAGCGAAGATAATTTAGAATACAAAGACATCAATCACTACCTTGCTAAGAAATATTTTGTTTTCGTTGGTAAAGATGTTCAATTCCCAGGATTCAATGGAAGAATTGCATCTACAGCCTTTAATCATGGAGAAGGATCATTTAGAAAAGGAAATGATTTCAAACATCCAACTGATGCATTCAAATTTGATAAAGGAAGCTAGTTAATTCCAAAAGTTGATCCAACAAAACCTGTTGTAGATGATAAGACTGAATATGGAAGCAAATTCAATAATAATGCCCCCAACGTTGATAAAACTTTGGCATCCAACGATCTTTTGGTTGAATATGGTTATGGATTCTGGGCTAGATTCTTAACTGCATATCCAGCAAGATTAATTAATGGAAAGAATCAACCATGGTACTTTGTAGCAAGATTAACAACCAATGTCCAATATGATAACATTAGAATGGGAGATAGAGCCTTAGCTATTTGGTAAGGACAAGGATTCTACCATTATACAACATGCAATAAATAAGACGGAAATGTTAATGTGATTTAAAACATCAATTATCCAGCTGATATTGAAGGAGTTTGGACATACATCTACTATTCATACAGTGCAGAGAAGAAGAAAGCTGTGGGATTCATTAAGTATGGAAATGATGATGTCAAATCAATCACTCATTCAATAACACATCCAGAAACCAGATAAGTTAGATTCATTTTAGGTGGTATGGATAACAATAGATATCCAGCCTTTAATGGTATCTTCACTAAAGTCTCATATTCTCATGAGAAAGGAGCATTCATTGATAGTTTAGATGTTTTGAAAACAAGATTAGGAATTGTGCCAGATGTTGACACTCCAGCTGTTAACAAGAAGATTGTTGCAGGATAAATAGAAAGAGTTCCAACTGTTGCTCATATTGGTGAAACTGTTGGAGATGAATAAACTAAATTACCATAAGAATATGCTTTAAGTGGATGGTTTAGATGGGATAAATTATAAGGATAGTAAGTATGGCATAATATCTTCAGAGTTACAATTAATTCACCATTCTCTGATAGATTTTTAGGAGATAGAACATTAGCTGTTTGGGTTGGTACCACCGCAGGAGGTATTTTACATCACACTACTTATACATACAATAATATGAATGGAGCAGGAAATCCTAATATTATTCAAAATATATAACACAAAGATAGACATTAAGAGTGGTTCTTTTTGTATTATGGATATTCAAAGAAAGATCAAAAAGCTTATGCTTATGTCAAATTCAAGGATAGTGAGGAATCATTAACTTTCTAGAAAATCAATCACTACTTAGCCCCTAAGTTCTTTGTTTATTTAGGCAAAGATCCTAACTTCTAAGGATTCAATGGTTAAATTGGATTTGTTAATTTCAACATTGGTAAAGGTAGTTTCAAAACAGGAAACGATTTCCCAGATGATAAAGATAAATTTGGATTTTTAGATGGATCTAAAGCTATTGCTAAACCCGTTGAACCACCTAAACCAGATGCAATTCCAGAAGCTGATAAATCAGTATTTGCAAGTGCTTCAAGTGCAGATTCTGCAAAGGTTGACAAATAGACTGTTGCGGGTGATTAAAATTTAGTTGAATATGGTTATGGATATTGGTTGAGATTCTTAACAAAGTATCCAGAGTAATTACCAAATGGAAAGAATTAACCATGGTACTTTATATCCAGATTAACTACAAATGTTCAATATGATAATATTAGAATGGGAGATAGAGCTTTGGCAATTTGGTAAGGATAAGGATACTATCATTTCACTACATGTGATTAAAAGAGTAACAATGCCAATGTGATTAAGAATGTCGATTATCCAAATGATATTGAAGGTATTTGGACTTACATTTACTATTCATACAGTTCAAAAGAAAACAATGCAATTGCCTTTATTAAGTTTGGAGATAGTGATTTCTAATAAGTGACTCATTAAGTCGTTCATCCAGCTGCAAAATAAGTTAGATTCATCTTGGGAGGCACAGATGAAAAGAGATATCCTGCATTCAATGGTCTATTCACTAATGTTTATTTTAATGCTAGAGTTGGAGCATACATCAATTCATTGCCAAATCTCAACAAATTACTAGATACTTAAGGACCAAAACCAAGCATAAAACTAGTTGATTTGGCTACTACTATTTTGATTGATAAGGAAAGTTCTAGAACTCCAAAGGATGAGCCTATCACAACTGAGGTGGAAGAAAAGAGGTTACCTCATCAATATGCATTCAGTGGTTGGTTTAGATGGGGAGCTATAGCATAGGAAGCTTGGCATAATATTTTCAGAGTATAACTCAAGACACCTTCTACAGACAATGTCTTGGGAGACAGAACCTTATCAGCTTGGTTGGGAACAGCAGAAGGAGGTATCATCCATCTACCTACATACACATACACTAATATGAATGGAGGTGGTAATTCCAATCTTTATAAGAACCATTCCACATAAAGGAAGAAATACTGAATGGCATTTCCTATACTTTGGATATTCAAAGGATTAAAACAAAGCTCAAGCTTATATTAAATGGACTCAATCAGAAGATACTCTTGAATACCCCGACACCAGACATTACTTTGCATCTAAATTCTATATCTTCACAGGAAGAGATAAACATTACCCTGGTTTCAATGGAAACATTGCTTAAGCCAAATTCAATATTGGTGAAGGATCATTTGTTCCAGACAAGAACTTCAACTTACCAAAAGATCCATTCTCATTTGGAAGTGGAGTTAATACCTACCATAAAGACTAACCAAAACCATAACCAGAAATAAAACCAGATACTAAAGTGCTTGATAATTCTGAAACACAGAAAGTACCAGTAGTGAACAAAGAGTTGAAGGATGACAAGGAATTAACAAGTTTATGGATATGGATTTTGGATGAGATATTTGACAGTTTATCCAGAAAGATAAATCAATGGTAAGAATTAACCATGGTACTTTGTCTCAAGATTGACATGGAATGAAAAATATGATAACATTGCTATGGGAGACAGAACTCTGGCCATATGGTAAGGAGCAGGATATTATCACTTCACCACATGCAACATTGCCAATGGAAATACTAATATGATCTAAAATATCAATTTCCCAACTGACATCGAAGGATTATGGACATATGTCTATTATTCATACAGCAGAGCCAGTAAATAAGCTGTTGCATTCATTCAATATGGTAACGATGCTCCATAAACAATTACTCATTCCACCTAACACAAAGATACTAAATATGTCAGATTTATTTTGGGAGGTAATGATGAGGGTAGATACCCAGGATTCAATGGTCAATTCACAAGTGTATCAATTGATTAAACTTTATATTGGTACATCTTGATGAATTCAAGGCATTTGTTACAAAGATTGGAGTTCCATAAGTTGGATTGAGATAATTGACAACTGTAGGTTTGGTTGATTAAGTCAGCAGAAGTTCTGAAGCAGACATTACAAAAGAAGCCACTGTTGGAGGAGGTGATTAGAAATTCCCATCTGAGTATGCAATTAGTGGTTGGTTCAAATGGAAACCAACAGCCTAAGCATCATGGCATAACATCTTCAGAGTCTAAATTAAGAAACCATCAACTGATAACTTCTTGGGAGATAGAACATTAACAATGTGGGTTGGTACTCCTGAAGGAGGTATTCTCCATTTCCCAACTTACACATATGACAATATGGTAGGTGGAGGAAATACAAATCTCTACAAAAACATTCAACACAAAGGAAGACATACTGAATGGTTCTATGTTTATTATGGTTACTCAAGAACAATCTCTAAAGCTTAAGTTTACGTGAAATGGGCATCATCAGATGATGCTCTTACTTATGATAATGTTAGACATTATTTGACTCCAGAATTCTATGTGTTTGTTGGCAGAGATAAATAATATCCAGGACTTAGTGGTAAGATGGGTTACGTGAAATTCAATCTTGGGGATGGATCATTCTTAAAGGATCCAAATCTCGATCATCCTTAAGATGCTTTTGGATTCAAATCAGGAATTGATAATTTAGTTAAGAAACCTTCTGCTGCAATTGAACCAGGCACACCAATTACTGAAGAATTAAGCAACGGCTTCGAACAAAAGACCCCAGTTATTGATAAGGCTGCACCAGCTTGAAAGAGAGCTTGAAGAATATGGTTATGGATTTTGGTTCAGATTCTTACACAACTATCCAGTCAGATTACCAAGTGGAAAGAATTAACCATGGTATTTCGTTGTCAGATTGGCTAATCAAGAGAAATATGATAACATTAGAATGGGAGATAGAATGTTGGCTGTTTGGTAAGGATAAGGATACTATCATTTCACTACATGCAACAAAGTAGACAACAATCCAAATTACATTAAGAATATCAATTATCCAGAAGACATTGAAGGTCTATGGACATATCTCTACTATTCATATAGTGATGACAAGAACAGAGCAGTTGGTCATATCAAATATGGAAATGATGACATACAATCAATTAGACATGATGTCAATCATCCTGAAACTAAATATGTGAGATTCGTATTGGGAGGTAATGATGAGGGAAGATATCCAGGATTCAATGGTGTGTTCTCATAAATAACATTCAGCACCAAAGAAGGAGCATTTATTGATACTGCTGATCTCTTAAAAGGATTCATTAGTAAATTAACTAAGCCTTCTTAAGGATTCAATGATCTAGCCAATTACAAATTGATCGAAGATAGTTTGACAAGAACTTCAGATGATAAACCACTAACAAAGATTATAGGAAAAGAAACAGAAAGATTCCCAGCTGAATACTCATTCAGTGGATGGTTCAAGTGGTAACCACTAGCCTAATAACCATGGCATAACATTTTCAGAGTGTAACTCAAGACACCCTCTACAGACAGTGTCTTAGGTGATAGAACATTGTCAGCATGGGTTGGAACAGCTGAAGGAGGTATCATCCATTTACCAACATACACTTATGTTAATATGAATGGTGCAGGTAATGCTAATGTTTGGAAGAATATTTAACACAAGAACAGAATCACTAGTTGGTTCTTCCTCTACTTCGGATATTCAAAAGATTAATAATTAGCCTAAGCTTACATTAAATGGACAGATGGAGAAGATCAATTATCACATGAGAAGGTAAATCATTATTTAGCAACCTAATTCTATGTGTTCACAGGAAGAGATGATCATTACCCAGGATTCAATGGGAAATTGGGCGAGGTTAATTTCAATATTGGTAAAGGTGCCTTCCGTAAACCAACTGATTATTCACATGATAAGGATATCTTCGGATTCAAGAGTGGCACAGATAAATTCATTAAAAAACCAAGTGATGAATTCAAGCCTGCTGATGCTAATAAGAACATTCTTGAAAATGCTTCAAGTTAAGATAAACCAGTTGTAGATAAAGATGTTAATGCTGAAAAACCACTTGAATAGTATGGTTATGGATTTTGGTTGAGATACCTAACAAAATATCCAGATTAATTACCAAACGGAAAGAACTAACCATGGTACTTTGTATCCAGATTGACTAATCAATAGAATTATGATAATATCAGAATGGGAGATAGAGTATTGGCCATCTGGTAAGGACAAGGATATTATCACTTCACTACATGCAATTCAGCTACCAATAATCCAAATATGATTATTAATAACAATTTCCCTGATGATATTGAAGGATTGTGGACATATATTTATTACTCATACAATGCTGAATAAAATAAAGCTGTTGGTTTCATCAAATATGGCAATACTGACTTCTAAAGAATCGTTCATGAAACTACTCATTCATTGACCAAATATTTGAGATTCATAGTTGGTGGTAATGATGCTAAGAGATACCCAGGATTCAATGGTCTATTCACTTCAGTTACATTCTCTACTGAATCAGCATTTGTCTCAGATGCTGATAAATTGAATGCTTACTTGCTCAAGAATCAAGCACCAAGTGTTGCAGTTCCATTGTAAACAACTGAATTGATTAAAGATCAAATCTCAAGAGATAAGGATGAAAAACCAAGTACTATTCAATCAATCGGAAGCAATAACAAATTCCCATTGGAATATGCATTGAGTGGCTGGTTCAGATGGAAGCCTACTGCATAAGCTCCATGGCATAATGTTTTCAGAGTCCAAATTAAGAAGACTCCATTCACTGATAGTTGGTTAGGTGATAGAACTCTCACTTGTTGGGTTGGTACTGCTGAAGGAGGTATCTTGCATTTCCCTACATACACTTACACTAATATGAATGGTGGTGGTAATAACAACTTCTATAAGAACATTCAATACAAGAATAGAATTAATGAATGGTTCTTCATCTACTATGGTTATTCCAAAGTTGAAGCCACAGCTTAGATCTATGTCAAATGGTTTGATTCTGAAGATAGCATGTCCTATGATAAAATAAATCATTATTTGACACCAGAATTCTAAGTGTGGGTTGGTAGAGATGAAGCATATGTTGGATTAAATGGTAGAATAGCTTATGTTAATTTCAATGCAGGTGAAGGTGCTTATGTCAAAAACAGCAAATTCGATCATCCATAAGACATCTTCAAATACAATGTTGGATAAGCTAAATTATTTGAAAAATAATAAGAAGTTAAACCAGGATAAGTTAATAAAGATTAATTACTAAGTGCAACAAGTCAAGATAAACCAGTTATTGATTAGAATGTTAAGTCAGATAATAACTTGGAAGAATATGGTTATGGTTTCTGGTTGAGATATTTAACTGCCTTCCCAGAAAGAATGCTTGGTGGTAAGAACTAACCATGGTACTTTGTTGCTAGAATAGCCAATCAAGAGAACTATGATAATATTAGAATGGGAGATAGATTATTAGCCATTTGGTAAGGATAAGGATATTATCACTATACAACTTGCAATGCAGTTAATGAAAATGCAAATGTGATTAAAAATATAGATTATCCAGCTGATATTGAAGGTGTTTTGGACATACATCTACTATTCATACAGTGAAGCTAAATCAAGAGCTATAGGTTTCATCAAATATGGATCTGAAGATACAATCAAAGCCATCCGACATGATGTTACTCATCCAGATACAAAATATGTCAGATTCATTCTAGGAGGTAATGATGCTAAGAGATACCCTGGTTTCAACGGTATTTTCACTTAAGTTACATTCGATGCTGTTAAAGGAGTTTTCATTGACACAGCTGATTAATTAAAAGGATACATGAACAAATTGGAAAACCCAACAATTGGATAAGTTGATTTACAAACCTATAGATTGGTTACAAATGAACAATACAGAGAGAAGACCAATGATCCACTCTTTAATGCAATTGGTAAAGACAATGAGAGATTCCCATTGGAATACTCAATCAGTGGTTGGTTCAAATGGTAATAAGCTCCATAAGATGCTTGGTAAAACATGTTCAGAGTTTCATTAAATGAGAAACCATCAGATCAATACTTAGGAGATAGAACAATGGCTGCTTGGGTTGGAACATCTGAAGGAGGTATCATTCATTTACCAACCTACACTTACGCAAACATGAATGGAGGTGGCAATGCAAATGTTTGGAAGAATATCTAACACAAAGATAGACACACCAAATGGTTCTTCGTTTATTTTGGATACTCAAAGGCTTAAGCTAAGGCATATTCATACATCAAATGGTAAGCAGATGATGACTTCTTGAATTACGATAATACAAACCATTATTATGCACCAAACTTCTAAGTGTTCTTCGGAAGAGATAAGTTCTATACAGGATGGAATGGTAAGATTGCATTTGCTCAATTCAATTTGGGTAAAGGTGCATTCAGAAGTGCTAAAGATTTCACTCATCCCAATGATGCTTTCGGTATTGGAGCTGGTATTGATAAATTAAGAAAGCCAGACACTGGATTTAAACCAGCTGATTCAGATCCTGCAGTCAAAGAAAATGCATTCAATTAGGATAAACCAATACATGATAAGAATGCTAATTCAGAGAATCCATTTGATGAGTATGGTTATGGATTTTGGATGAGATTCTTGACAGCCTACTCCATAGAGATTAAATAATGGTAAGAATGAGGCTTGGTATTTCATTGCTAGATTGGCCAATTAAGAGAAATATGATAACATTAGAATGGGAGACAGAATGTTGGCCATGTGGTAAGGACAAGGATATTATCATTTCACAGCATCCAACATATTAACTGGAAATCCAAATATGATTCAAAATGTTAATTATCCAGAAGATATTGAAGGATTGTGGACTTATGTTTACTATTCATACAGTGTAGAGGAGAACAAAGCTCAAGGTTTCATTAAGTTCGGAGAGGAGAATTTCAAATAGATCACACACTAAACAACCTAACCATTGACCAAATATTTGAGATTCATAGTTGGTGGTAATGATGATAAGAGATACCCAGGATTCAATGGTTTATTCACATCAATTACATTCTCATCTTAAATAGGAGCTTATGTTGACAGCATTGATGCTTTGAATAAATATGTTAATGCTAATCCATATCCCAAGTTGGATACTACTCCATAGAATTATTTATTAATCAAGGATCCAATTACTAGAAAACCAGAAAACGATTTCTTTTTGAGGGAATTCGGAGAAGACAATTAAAGATTCCCAGTTGAATACTCAATCAGTGGATGGTATAAATGGGTTGAAGGAACTCCAGCAAATCAATGGTAGAATTTATACAGAGTATTATTGAAGAAGGAGCCAACAGATACTGCAATATTGGGAGATAGAACATTGGCTGGTTGGATTGGATTTGGTAATGTTCATTAGAGTACTTACACTTATGTAAATATGAATGGAGCAGGAAATAATAATATTTGGAAATAGACAGAACATAAAGATAGACATCTGAGATGGTTCTTTGTCTACCATGGATATTCAAGAAATGATCGATTATCATATGCCTATGTATAATACAAAAATGGAGCTGAATCATTATCATGGGATAAAGTTAACCATTACTTCGTTCCAAGATTTTATGTTTATGTAGGAAAGGATGCTATAAATGGATTCAATGGTCAAATTGGAGCTATTAATTTCAACATTGGAGCTGGTTCATTCAGAAAGGGAGATGATTTCACTCACGATAAACATTTCTTTGGATTTGGTGCTCCATTCGTTTAGACTAAAGTGAAACCATTCGACATCAAGGAGAGAACAACTGATATTTTAGTAAGTGCAGCCCCAAGTTAAGAGAAACCATCATTCACAAAAGTATTGCCAGAAGATGAAGTAGCAAGTTGCGAGGAGTATGGTTATGGTTTCTGGGCAAGATACTTGACTTAATATCCAACTCCATAGAAATCAGGAATGCAAGGTGAATGGACATTTGTTTCAAGATTAACAAAGAACTCGAAATTGTAGGATATCACTTTAGGAGATAGAACTTTGGCAATATTCTTGAATAGAAATAGTGCTTTCCACATTACAACTTACAATGCTGGTAATCCAAACTCAATTGTAAATGCAGCTGCAAGACCAGATTTCGAAGGAATTTGGATCTACATTCATTTCAGTCATAATTTAGAGAAGAAATCAAGTGTTGCCTTATTGAAGTATGGTGATGAGAAACCAGTGAAATATTAACAAGCTGCAGCTCATGTAGCACCAGCATTCCTACAATTCTATTTGGGAGGTAAAGACTTCTATAATTCATGGAATGGTCAGTTCAGTGATGTTATGGTTTCAGCCAGCGAGGGTATCTTCATTGAAGATGAGGCTGCATTGATTAAGCATTTGTCAGGATTCAAGATGCCAGCCTAATTCAACTATGACTTGAAGACTTTCGAAGTAATTCCAAAGGAGTAAACCTTTGATGGCAAGTAAGAAGTCAAGGAATAAATGTTTGAGGAAGACGTTGCTTTGAGACCAGAGTATGCTTGGTCAGGATGGTTCAGATGGGATAATCTTCCAGCAGGTGCCTTCTTCCTGTATGCTAGATTGAGTATATTCTAAGGACCAACAGATTTGTCTTATTTGGGAGATAGAACATTATCAGCATGGGCAGGACCAGGTAATATGATGCAATTCTCCACATATACATATGCTAATTTAGTTGGAGGAGGAAATGCTGATAGTTGGAATAGAATAAACTCTGGATAAGAGTTGGTAAGATGGCATTATGTTTACTTTGGATATTCTTTGATTGAGAGAGCAGCTTATTACAGAGTAGAATTTAAGGGAAGATTGGAAGAATTCACTTTCAAAGATCACAAACACTACTACCCAAATAAATTCTCATTGTAAGTTGCTAGGGACAAGTTCTACTAACCATTTGCTGGTACCGCATCCTATTTCAGATTAAATGTTGGTGAAGGTGCTTACAGAATAAGTGGGTATGATAAAGCCAAGAATGACATCTTTGCTTATAATCTAGGCAAATAAGCATATGTTAAACCATCTCCTACCTTCGATTTCAATAGAGACTAATAGAAGGGAGTTTCTGACTCACCAGTTGATGGAAAGGATCCAGTATGGTCAAAGAAAATGATTGGATCAGATTTGGATGATGTTAATGAATATGGTTATTCAATGTGGTTGAGACATATGGCCCATTATCCAGTTCAATTGCCAATAGGATTATACGATAAGCCCTGGTCATTTGTTGTCAGATTAACTAAGAATCAATAACTATAAGATATTACAGTCGGAGACAGAGTCTTGGCTAATTGGTTATATAACGGCAATTACTATCACTTTACTACTTATCATCAAAATAATCCCAACTTGATTTAGAATATCAACAATCCAGATGATATTGATGGTGTTTGGTATTATTTACACTTTGCTCACAGTCTTGGTAGAAAATAATCAATAGGTTTCTTACATAATGGACAGAAATTGAATAAGGTCGTTTTTGCTGCTGAACACATTGCACCAACTTTCTTATAATTATATTTGGGAGGAGTCAATCTCAATTATCCAGCATATAATGGTCAATTTGCTAATGTATTATTCTCAGTAGGTGATGGAATCTTCAAAAAGGATGAGGCTGAGTTCAATGCATTCTTTAATGACCTTAAGTAACCAGATCCATTCAACAGAAATCTTGTAACCAAGAACATTGTTGAAGCACCAAAAGAATTCGGAAAGGATACTGCTGTAGATGAAAAGGTTTTCACTGAATTTGCTTTGACAGGAGAATACTCATGGTCAGGTTGGTTCAAATGGACTCCAACTGTATAATAACCATGGCATTTAATGGTGAGATTGTCAAGTCTTCAAAACTCTGCTGATTTGAAATTCTTAGGAGACAGAGTCTTGAGTGCATGGGTTGGATAAGGATATCTCCATTTCACTTGTTATAGTGCTGTCAATATCGTAGTTGCTGGATATCCAAATCAAAATTAGAATATCAATTATGAGACAGATTATACAAAATGGCATTATGTTTACTTCGGATATTCAAGACTATAAAGATTAGCACATGCTAAAGTAGAATTTAAAGACAGAGTTGCTGAAGTACAATTCAAAAAATACATTCCAATACTTACCAAACAAATTCTCACTTTGTGCAGCCAAGGATAAATTCTACGCAGCATACAGTGGTAATATTGCACATTTAAGATTAAACGGAGGTGATGGAGCTTTTGATCCTAAATCTTATGGTGATAACAAATAAGATATCTTCGGATACAATATTGGAAAAGATAACGTCAAAGAGAAAGAACCAGAAGTAGATCCACTTAGATCATAAGAAGTATTAGATTCAGCATGGAATCAAGATAAACCAGTTTATTAGACTGAATTCAAGAAGGAAGATCTAGTTGGTATTTAGGAATATGGTTATGGATTCTATTATAGACATTTGGAATAATATCCAGCACAAATGAGAGAGGGTAGATTGGAACCATGGTACATGATGTCAAGATTGTCATGGAATAAGGATGAAGGAAATATTAGAATGGGAGATCGATTATTGGCTACTTGGTAAGAATAAGCAGCTATTTTGTTTGTTACCAACAATTTACCAGGAGATCCAAATATGTTAGGTAGAATTAGTGTTGCTGAAAGAGAAGGATTATGGACATTCTTATACTTCAGTTATTCATTGGGAAGATTAATTGGCAGTAGGTATTTTGAAATTCGATAACAATGATGAAGTATTCCATATTCCAATGAAATGCAATCACGGTAAAGTTGATTATTTGAAATTCACTTTGGGATCTGCACCTCCTCATTTCTACCCAAGATTCAATGGTTAATTTGCTAACTATGCAGTCAAACTAGGACCAGGTGCATTTGTTAAAAATTATGATGCTAAGAAGAAGTATTTACTCAATAGAATCCCACATCCTGCTGGTGATGATAATAAATTCAGATAATTCAAAGTAGTGGAAGGTTAGAAACAATTCAAGGGAGACAGTTAAGATGAAGTTATAGTTGAAATACCAAGTGATTTCAGCAAATTTGCAACAGAATACTCAATTTCAGGATGGCTCAGGTGGGATACTCCAGCTCTAGGTGCTCCATGGTTCAATGTATTCAGATTAAGTTTGTATAACGCAGATTTGAATGCTGAAAACAGATTTGGTGATAGAGATTTGGCATTGTACAAACATAATACTTACTATCAATATCACACTTATAACTATAACCCAGGACAACCGTGGACATTTGAACATGTGATTCCTCATGCCGATTAACATTTGGCATGGCACTTCTTCTATTCTGGATATTCAAGAGACAAAGCAATTCAATACCATTTTATTTCCTTCTAAGAATCTGATGTCGAGAAAATATTTGATAAATAGAAGCATCTTATAGTCAATAAACACTATTTGTCATTTGGTAAAGATTTCAAGAAATTCTACCCATCACACAGGGGTTTCACTGGTACTGCTAGTATGGTTAATTTGAATTATGGAGATGGTGCATTCACCATGAAACCATTCACCAAGAAGAATGACTTATTCTAATTTGCTGATGGAGAGAAGAAATACAGAAAACCATTCTCATTAGTAGAAATCTGGAGTGATAAGAATAAATAAATACCCTCAATTTCTGATAGTAATGATATAGTCTATAATGTTGAATTGACAGATGCTAAGGACAATATCAGAGGATTAGATGAATATGGTTGGGTCGCATGGGTTAGATCATCCAGAACTGAACCAAAGAACTTACCATTTAGACCCCATACTCACTCTATTGCTAGACTTTCAACTTAAAGAGTCAACAGAAATACTCAATAACCAGGAGACAGAGTACTAGTAGCATGGTAGTATTTCCCAACTTATTATTTCGCTACTTACACTACAGGAAATTATGATGTAGGCTAACAAACTCCATTTAAGATTGTTGATGGTTACTGGAGATTCATCTCTATGTCTTATAAGAAGGGAGAAGTAAAGGCCTATGTTTACTTTGATGATAAAGATATTGCTGAATTAAAATTCGATGTTAAACATGAATTAGTTAATGAGTATTTGAGATTAACATGTGGTGGAGAGACTGAAATATTCAAATATAATAACTTCAATGGTCATTTATTAAATATTGGATTAAGATTAGGTTAGGGATCCCATATACCAACTAAAGATGACCTATTGAGATTTTTGTAAGGACCATGGAAATTACCAGATTAAGTTTAAATTGACTAATCAAGAGCGAGTTTGGGCATTTTGAAGGAAAAGAGGGAGTTTAAGGCTGATGCTGAACCATTTTGGGTAACTGTCAAACCAGAAGTAGCCAGAGGAAAAGATGAATATGCAATTTCAGGATGGGCAAGATGGGTAGATCCAGCTTCAATTTAAGCATGGCATTTACTTTATAGAGTATAGATTTTCAATAAAGATACTGAGGGATTAAGGAATGCTGATAGACCAGGAGATAGAACATTATCCTGCTGGAAGGGTCAAGGATTTTTCTATTTTGCTACATATACAGTCGATTAAGGTCATGGTGGAGCATGGAACATTGAGAGAACAAATCCATATGATGAAGTTATGCACAAGAATTGGGTTTACTTCTATTAAGGATATTCAAGATCAAAGTAGAATGTTCACATTTACCTTAAATATCCCTCCAGAGATGTTCACTTTGATGTACCAGTCAATCACTTTGTCCCAACTCAATTTTATGTTCAATTTGGTAAAGATCAATGGAGTGGTGGATGGAATGGTTACCTTGAATCTTGGTATTTCAATACTGGTAATGGAGCATACAAGACTGCAGATTATGATAAAGATGAATCAGATTTATTATCATTTGGATTTGGTGGAAGAACCATTCCAAAGCCAAAGAATTGGGATTCTAAAGATATGTTCTAAAACAATTGGGGACCCTCTGACCAATCACTAGGAAAGGATGTCGAAATAACAGATGATTACATTAATGGATTGACTGAATATGGATATGGAATGTGGACTAGATTTATTTGGAATGGAGAAAGAAAACTAGTAGACAAACCAGCTTGGATGGCATTATCTAGATTGACATACAGACAAAACTATTAAGGAGATGCAGCTTAAATTGGAGATAGATTATTGGCTATTTGGGTAGGATCTGGTTTCTATCATTTCACTACTTCTCAACCAGGAAATGCTAATGTGGTAAACAATATAAACTACAATAATTTATTGGATGGATCTTGGAATTACATTTACTATGGATATAAGAAATTTGATAAGGGAGGAAATGTAGTAGGACATGTACTCTTTGGAGGCTCAGCCGTTAGATCAACCACTTTCCCTGAAATAGTAAATCATACTCCATTATCTGACTACTTATACTTCTGTGTTGGTAGTTCAGGTGCCAAATTGAGAACAAATTATCATTCATTTAATGGACATATCTCAAATGTTGAGTTGATGTTGGGAAATGGCGCTTTCTTCTCGAACCCAGATGATCTAAGGAAAAGATTGCCAGAAATGCCTAAATTCCCATAATTAGCACCAATCAAAGAGGTCATCTTTTAGGATTAAAGAGATATGAAGAGAGAAGTGGGTCAAGTGGCACCTGTTGAATTTACTGATAAGTTTGCTGGATAAACTGAGTATTCAGTGTCAATTTGGTTCAAATGGTCTTCGATTTCAAGAGCAACTTGGGAAAATGTTTATACTCTCTCCTACAATGAACAAAATATCAGAGGAAATCACGTAAGACCAGGAGACAGAGTGTTATCATTATTCTAATATGCTGATCACAGACAATTCTTCAGTACTTACACTACTCCAGATGTTGATGATGCTTTCTAATAAATCTTCACAGAATGCCCAACTCCAGCTCTTGATCAAATTGCTTGGGTTTATGCTTATTATGCATACAGTAGAAAGCTTAACACTGTTTACAGTTTCTACAAGACTAGAACCACTGAATGTGACAAGAAATTGATAGCTTTCCATAGAGTGCCAAGATATTTAGGATTATATGTTGGAAAGGATGGAATTCACACTCCTTACAATGGCAAATACCAATAAATGTATTTGATGGCTGGAAATGGTGCCTATAGAGACAAGGATATCTTGAGTTTTGATCCATATATTGCAGGTGCATTAGGAGTCTAATCTAAACCATATAAATGGGCAGAGAAGAAGGATGATTTCGATTTGTCATTTGATGGATACCTTGTAAAAGAATTTGATCCAGAAGCAGTAGATGGACATTCAGCCTATGCAATTGGATTCTGGAGTAGATACTTAACTGCAATTCCAAAGAGAGTCTTAGACAAACCAGCATGGGTATCTATGGCTAGATTCACAGTCAATAGAGACTATTAAGATTAATCTAAGGTTGGAGACAGAACCCTTGCATTATGGTTAGGAAAAGGATTTTATGGATTTAGAACATATAATTTGGCTACCAATACTCCAACTATTGCTTAAGATATCAAGTATGATGACAAATTAGAAGGAGAATGGAATTTCATTTATTTCTGTTTCGCCAGTTCAAAACAATAAGCTATAGGTTATGTCAAGTTCGGCAGCTCAGGAGATATCAGCAGAGTTAACTTCCCAGAAATCACACATAAACCAATTGAAGGTTTTGGTAAATTAATTATTGGAAAAGAATTCAATTATCAAGGATTCAACGGTAAGATTTCACAATTCTAAATGCTCTTTGGTGGACAAGGTTATGCTCCTGATGTAGAGACATTAGAAACCTTAATCAAGACTACTTTCCCATAACCAGATCTCAATATTCCTGATCCTTAGGTTCTAAAAATATAAGAAGATGAAGTCTAAAAGAGAGTTGGCGATTAATCCTCAAGTCTATGAATGGCCATATCAATATCAAGAGTCTCTTGAATACTCTATCTTCGGATGGTTCAGATATTCTTAACCTAAATTGTAGAGAGAAAATAATGTCTTTTTGAGATTGACAAACAATGAACCAGGTTATAGAAAAGAAGCAGCAATCGTAGGAGATAGAACACTCTTGATCATGTACTAGATAAATGAAGTAGTCTTCTCGACATACACTCTTGGCACTATTGATGATGGTTAAGTGGCTAACATTAGAAAACCAGCTCCACTTGGAAACAACTTTGGAGTTTGGACTTACGTTTGGTTCGGATATAGTTGGTCAAAGAGGCTTGCCTCGGGTATTGTGAAATTCCCACAAGACAAGGTTATTGTTCCATATGAGAATGTCTTACACATGGTACCTAAATATTTGGCCTTTTTCGCAGGATCAGATGGATTCTTAGGTGGATGGGAAGGACCAATGAGAAAAGTAGGAGCAATCTTTGGAAAAGGTGCTTACATTGATCCAAATAAAGGAAATTATGAGAATATGTTACCTAACTTGTTGGGATTGTAACCAAAGAAAGCAGATTGGAAACCCTCCAGAGAAGAAATTATTTTTGTTCCAATCAGAGATAGACCAGGATATGATTTGACATTCAGAGATGAAGTAGGTGGTGTTACTGAATACGGTTATGGATTATGGACAAGATGGTTGATGACAACTCCAGAAAGAATTGTTGAGAAATCTTCATTCCATCAGTTAATCAGATTGACCAACACTGAGAGATATGAAGACAATGTTGCTCTTGGAAATAGAGTGTTGGCTATTTGGGCTGGTAAAGGATATTATCATTTCACTACTTATGACAAGAAGACTAACAAGGCATCCATATCTGCCAATACAAATTACGATGACTACTTTGAAGGACATTGGAACTACATCTATTATTCATTCACTGCATAAGACACACCTAGGGCAGTTGGATTTGTTCACTTTGGAGATGTACCAGGATAAACAGTTTCTAGAATCGAATTAATTGATATTGCTCATAATCCATTAAATGGATATGCTCGAGTGGTGGTTGCCAATAATGAATTCGGATACCCAGGATTTAATGGTATGATTACTGGCTTAAGAATCTTCTTTGCTTAAGGATTTGTTGGTTCCAAAGAATAATTCTTGAAAGATGTCTTAGCAGTCTAACCAAAACCATAATTGACAGTTCCTGCTAGAACAGACATCAATGTTTTGAAATAAGAGAGAGTAGTCAATAAAGGTGATTCTGGTATCCCCATTAAGACCTCTTATACTCAATTTTAGGGAGTACTTGAATATGCAGTTTCCGGTTGGGTACAAACTAGAAGAGGATAAATTGATGAATTGTCAAGAATGATCTTCAGGTTGACTATCAATGATCCAGCTATTCAAAAAGATAAATCATTGCCAGGTGATAGAACACTTACATGTTTCTTATTCAAGGATGCATTAACATTCTCTACTTATGATTACGGAGAATTAGATAACAATGAGGATGACGAAAATGATATCTAATGGCCATCCAAGATAGGAGCCAATGGAGGAGAGTGGGTCTTCTTGTACTTCGGTTACAATTCCAAAATCAGAAAAGCCTTTGCTTACACACTCTTCTTGAACAGAGAATTAGGAAATCAATATAATGATTTGAAACACTTTGTTCCTAATAAGTTCTGGTTCTACTTGGGAGGAGATGGATTCAATCAATAATTTGAAGGTACAATGTTCAATTGGAATCTCAATTTCGGTGATGGTTCCTTCACAAACAAAGGTAAATCAGCTATTACTTCATGGCCCTATGAACCTTAACAATAAGCAGCTGATCAACTTCTCTCAGTCTTACTTGGTAATCAAGGATTGAGTTCTATCAAATTGGAAAGATCAGCCGGACCAGCATCAGGATAATTGGATGTTAAAGGAGCTAACTCAGGAGTTGTAGAAAGAACAGCTGGAGCTAAGTCAGGAGTTACAGAACAATCAGAAGGAGCAAAATCTGGTAAATCAGAGACCGCCCCTGGACCTAAATCAGGATCTTCATAATGAATGATTTGATTATTCATATTAAATAAACATAATAAATACCATTTCTAAATTACTTAAATCCGTTGTGTTTTTATACAAAACCAAAAGATTAATTGATAATCATCTATTAACTCTAAAACCAGATTTATGTTGACCAGTTATTTTTAATTTAAATTATGTATACTTTTTTAATAATGCTTTTTTATATATTTAACAAAATAAAATCTTTTTTTTTTTATAAATATTTTAATATTCTGGCTTTTTCTCTTTCTAATCATCTCTGTACATAAGTAGTTTGATTTTATGAATTTTTTGATGAATATGCGAGCATATATAAGCGAATAATGGCATTTAAAGAAATTCTAATTTTTTATTTAAATTACGTTTTATATCGATTATATGAGTCATTCACCTAAGGCTTTTACTTGGACTTAAACTTCCTGTACTGTGAAAATGAAAAGCAATTACTAAAACCTCGTTTAAACAGTTACTCCAAATCAAGGACCTGTTGGTTTGAAGATCGATACAGAGAGAGAATTTCAACACTCTTGTGATTTAGGATGGAATTGGCACAAAAGTTGGAATATCCCAAATATTTCTGTTAAATTGAGCCTAAAAAACGATGAATGTGCTTAATGGATAAATTGTTAGGTAAAATAAAAAGAAATCTATTTTTAGGTTGAACTCAAGGCAGTCAAAGAACTGTAAGCAGATCTATTTGAAGAAGTTGGATTAGAAGGAACAACTAATTATGAATTAGTAGATGGAAGAGCATTTTTCACAGTAATTTCCTTAAACGATTTTAGGGTGTAAAATTTAATAGTACCACTTACAATCACCAAGGCCATAAATTTTAATTGCTTTTAATTATTAAAGAAAGAGAGAACATAATTATTTCATTACAGTCACCACCTATTTTTGTTGACAGTAGAAAAAGTGCTCGTGATGAACATCGATAAATACAATCTATCTCGCCTTTTGAACCTAAATACTTAGAAAGAAGCTTCTGTAAGAAGGAGAAGTATTAGAATGACATTGTTGATGCCCCAATTGAAAATAATGAAAATGGATTATATAATTATTTAACAGCTCCAAATATCAGAAACAAAGTAAAAATATTTATTCATAAAGATTAAACATCCACTATTTCTGGCCTTAAAGTTTTCAAGATGTTTCAACGTTTACTATATGCCCGATGCTGAAGTCGAAAATCATCTTGTTGAACTATAGAAACAACTCTTGTCCAAATCACAAATTTCCCAATATCTTTTGGTGTTTTAATCAAATAATAACAGAATTAAGAGAAAGGTATACTTTGTATATATCAATTTAGATTGAGGATTCTTTGAATTAGCTATTTGGGTAGAGTAAAATCTAAGTTGTGGAAAAGAAGCATCTTAATGAATTCACCCACCGTAAATTAGAATTCACTGCAGAGGATTATTAAGGATCTTATAATTAATTGACCCTTTTAATGAATCAGTTTACTCTTAATTAATAATAACCTTCAGAATTTTAATCATAGATTCCAAATCAAACACAATAGTAGGCTATTGAAATTGAACCTTAATCTTAATAATAAATTAAATTGCCCTTAAATCATCTAGAAAGAAAATCCGCTTTTAAAAAATACAAAGACTTTGATAAATTGCCAACCAAAAATTTCGAAGAAGAAAAGGCAGAACAATAATAAAGAGTAGAGAAGTTAAATAATATTCGAGAAATGGAAAAATATGAAAAAATTCAAAAAATAATTAAGATAGAGGAGAATAACAAAGATTAATATTAATAATAATAATAATAATAATAATAATAATAATAATAATAATAATCATATTAGTAATTGTAAATTGCATCTAATTATTATACCAACTAATATAATTGCTTTAATCCTAATGTATATAAATTTAATTATTTAGGTTTCAATGCTCTTTTAATAAAAATTGTAAGAACAACTATTATAATTTTATATGATTTAGTAATAGTTATTGCTCCTATAAATGCCTTCTTCTGTGTGATATTAAATTTATTATTAAACAAATTGATATTATCGAAATTAAAAATAAATAAAATTTAATTTTATCAGATGTCAGAGAGTGTTCAACAGGAACCCTAATAATAATCCTCATCATCTAAATAACCAGAAGAGTCTAATTCGGATGAAAAGATTACTAGTGCATGGGAGAAATCATAAAAGGAATTAATAAATTCACATTAAAATAAATTTGATGCATTTAAGGCTATGGCAGATTAGAGTGGAACAATAGATGAAAGTCACTTTACAATAGGAGGGGAATAGAAATCAGAAATATTTAAAAGATTTGATGCTGATCATGATGGAAAAATTAATTAACAAGAATGGAATTAGGGTTGGAATAATCTTGATGTATAAGTGTTAGAAACGTAACATAAAGTTGCAATTGCATAACAAAAAATGTAAATTTTAGATGCTTTAGAAGCAAAAGTAGAACCTGGTTTAAACTTAAGTTAAAAAAGTTCAATTATGATAGATAGATTTAAAAACTCATCAAATTTGGGTGATTTAAATGATTTATTCAATAAGAAATCTCCATTTTAAGACCACTAGGAATATTCAGAGAGTAGTAATTATGACATTAGGTAAAAAGGTAGTAACAGACCTTTGGATCAATTATTATAACAATTTAAAACACCGAATAAAACGGATATTTTATTTGATTCAGGTAGTGGATAAGGATCAGGTCAATATTTAGGTAGTAATAAGCAAACCTAAAAATTTGGATTTGTTTAAGGAAGTGCTTCTCCAGCATTTAATCCCACAACATTAAAGAATGAAAATTAATACAACTCGAAAGTTCATTAACAAATGAATATTAATATTGATATTAAGGAAAAAAATAAATCTAATAAAAGAAGAGAAGAATTAGCTAGCTACATGGGTAAATTGGGTTTGGGAGGAAATGACTCAATTTCAAGACCTTCCATAAGTTCTGAGCAACCAAATTCAAGTAAAAATGAATAATTATCATTTAGATGTTTTCGAGAGAATGAAAGTTTATGTAAGTAACATTGGATAGTAAAATTTCAAGAATTAACCATAATCTGGACTAAATGAACTTACTAATGATAACTAATTCATTACTAGCACATTCAAATAGCAATTAAAATAATATAGAAGAGAGAGAGGTGTAGAATAAGTAGACAATCAAGCTGGCAAATTCTCAAAGCATTCCAGCTTCTTGGAGAATCCATTATTGCAGGATTAATCTTTAAAAAGTTTTCATTTAAAACTTATGCACTCTTAAGGCGCATTGAACTATAAGAATACTAGAATTTGATAAATTGAGATATTTATATAGTAATAGAATTAAATAATATAATCATCTGTTAAATTGAATACTAAATTCTCATAATGCAACTATTTTTATGAGTTAATTAATACTGCAATTGATATCTTTTCTTTAAGTTTAACACACTTGTAAAAAAATTTGAATATTAAAGTTCCTAATTTTACAACTAATGCAAATTCAAACTCATTTTTAATAAAATATTGATGAATTTCAAGTGGGAATACTTTTTTTTAAAATGGGAAACCTAAATAGATGTTGAGAATTGGGGAGTATAATAATAAAAAAAAATTTAATAAATATTTTGATTATGATATGAATTTGATAATCAATACTTTTTTTTCTTATGATCTCTTGATCTGCTTCTACTTCGACTTCTCTTTTTAAGCTTTGATTTTTTATCTTTTCGTTCCTTACTTTTTTTCCCTATTATAATTTGAATTATGATACTTGATATTCTTTTTTCATCAGAGGAACTTCGATCTCTATCCTTCTTCTTTTTATGCTTTTTAGAACGACTTGATGATTTCTTTTCTTTGTCTTATTTTTCAGTTCCTTTTTAAACCATTTATAATAAGGCTTCCGCCATTTTGGTCTGCTTTTAACTATATTTCTATAGAAATGGATGTGGATACTACACCTTTCCTGTCAATCCAGGTATTTTACCCACATTCATCTTATTCCAATTCATTTCCATTTATTATTATTATACCAATGATGCTATGGTTTCATTTAATAAGGCATGTTATGCCTAATTTAGTTGAATCTTTTGGGAAGGGATGTTCTGGTTGCTAGGGGAACGACTGGGTGATTTTTTTGGTTGTTCTTTGATTGGACTTGCATTGACAGGAGCTTTAATTAATTGTAATTAATTGAATATACAAATTATTTGATTGTAATCCCATTCTATCTCTTCGTTCTTTGGAGTAGGTTCTTATTAAGGTTGGGGCACCGGTTCTTATTCTTCGTCGTTTTATTTGATTTATTCAAACAATAGACATATACGTTGACCAATATCCTGATAAATAAAATTAATAATAGGATCATTACAGCTGGAACTTCTTAACAATCTTTACTCCTGATTACTAGATCGCCAGTTTTTGGATTAATGGTGTCTTACAATTTGGCAAAATCTACAGTACCCTTCCTTAACCATTCAATTGAAAAATTATCAGCCAATTGAATAGTGGATGTACCACACCATTACCATTTGGGATCTCGAGGCACTTGTATATTCTTCATCTTAGCACAACCTAAAAACTTTTCAACACGATTAGCAATAAAAATCAAAATGACTTTTTTGTTATTAAATTAATCCATAAGAGTCCCAAAGTTACGACGAGTAGTAGCCCAAACATCGTGAGTTTTGGCCAAAATCACATTCTGCTCGGTGTTACTCTTAACAATAAAGAAAACAGCATTTTTAATTTATTATTCCAACTCTGTGTTGGAAATCTCAGTTTATTACTTGATAGTCTAAACTTGATAATTGACATATTTAAATGGACATTATTGTAGCTCATTAAAGAAACACTTCGTAACTTTGATAAATTGTTCTTCACATCCTTGGCATATCCTCCTCTAACAACAAGGGGTCTAAGATGCACTTCTCGCAGATAGGCATGACTCACACAACGATTGGCCCTACTGGTATGGTTGTCTCACCACTATCACGGTTTATTTATTTCTCACCTAAACAACCATTACTTTAATTATTCTACTTTATCAGCTAATCCTAATGGTTTTTCTTATCCACCATTCTATTCCAATTCTCCATAGATAACTAACTCTTCAAAATTTTAGTTGGACTATCCTTTCTAAGGCTAAGGCATTTCTAGATTTGATTTTTAAATTGATTACTTAGAAAATCCTTTATTTTTTGTCGTAAATCTTTTAATTGCACATTCACTCCTTATATTGGAATTTTATATGTTTGTGCCTCGTGTTTCATTTTAAAATACACGATGTTCTCAGCCATTAAGATTTTTTAATTATTTAAAATAATTATTCTTTTAATATAAGACAAATTTTACATACATACAATTTTATATTATATAGATTGAGTGATTTTCTATTTTAATACTCAAGAGACTCTTGAATTCAGAGAATATATATTATTTCAAAATTTTGTCAATAAAAATTAAGCAATCAGAATTTAGATTTCAAACATCATCTCAGAAAATGGTTTCTCTTCTTTAATTGATTTTGGTACTTATTTCTCAAGATTATCAAAACCTTAACTTGAGAACTATTAGAAACAATTTATTTGACGTATTTCTTATTCATTCATATTTCCTAGTACATTAATCAAATCAAACATTGAGTCCTTTATCTAAAAATTAATATTAAGTAGTTACAGGCTTTTTATATCTATTTTTGATCCTGTCTTTTAACCATGTCAAGTTCGAGATGGCTTTATCTTCATTCAGTGCATATCTAATGTTGGGAGGGCAAAATAACTTAGATTTTATGTATTAAATACTTATGTTTTAATATCAAAATATCTTTAAATAAGTACTATTTCGATATCACAGAGTGTTTATGTTCCAATGATAATTCTGTTCTACTTGTATTCTTGTTTTAGTTTTTGAGTAGATTGATCATGGAAATAGGAAGCCAACGAATTTGCAACTGGTGGTATGTATACTTTTTATTCATTCACACAAAACTGATTAGAATTGTTAAATTAGAAGCTTGGCATAGACAATCCTTACAGAAATGAAGGAATTTATATGTTATCTTTATAAACAGAATCAGCTAATTAATATTTGGTAAGTTTACTTGAATTCCTCATCTGGAGTTGTGGAATTGAAGTATTTGGAAACTCCATTAAAGGGGCAGGTGGGAAATTATATACGAAATAAGGATAGTTGGATGCTTAATTTTGCTGTTCCTTTGATTACGTCGATATATCAATACAATCACTCAACATAATTTATAATTATAATTATTAAATAGTGTACAACGCAGAATCTCAGTTTAAATATGCACATTAATTCTATATACATATCATATAGATGCATTTTTTTATCCACAAAACATCCCCAAAATCATCACCCTTTTTTCACAGTTCAAAATATCAATCATTTAATTCAATATCTTGATCTCAGCAATATTAACATTAAAAATGCTTCATTTAATGTTTTTGTGAAATTTCGAAGAGATCTCTCTAAATAGTACACAATTAGGTAGGTGAATTGATGAATCACTTTTATAGATTTATTGTTTAACATTATTCCACATTTTATTGATCAAGTTATTACAAATACTATGTCTTAATAAAATTATGAATTTGTTTAATTCATCCTCATTTTGTGTATCGTTATTTTAATATGATGATTACTTTTCTTTTTACTATGAATAAATACATTATTTATGTTAACAACACAATTTAATTATCATGCTATTATAATTTAAGATATATCGAACATTTATCAAATAAAAGTTATCTACCTGAAAATCAATGTTGTTTAACAGATGCAATAAAACATATATTTATTAAATCTATAATTAATAATATTTCATATTGTAAATAGCAATATATAGAATTAATCAACACAGTTTATTCATTTTATGTTTTTTAATCCTATTTTGGCAAAAATAAGTTTCATTTAGCCTTCATTTCTAATTAATTTTGATCTATAGAATTGGCATTGAATTAAATAGATAGTTCATTATTTATATTATATTATTAATACAACATGTTTTAGTCCTATATATTATCTTTTTATTAGCTGTTTTCACAAGTTCTCTGAATTTTAATGAATATTTATGTAAATAATCAACATGAATTTGGAACTATAATTGTAAAGAATTTTGTATAGGAATAATAAATTTACAATTTGAACAATATTTAATTTATCAATCATTCTATAATTGAATTATTTGACAAAAAAAGAAGATGCCAATTGATGAAAGATTTTTAATATTATATAAAATTAATAATAATGTTTGAAAAATAACTCGAAAAAATATTGAATTGGGTTTTGGGAAAATTTATCGATGGATTTGACGCATAAAACCTTCATATTGGAATATGGAGTGGAGAAGTTACCATATAAAATGTTGCATTGAAACCTGATATCATTAAAATGCTTGAATTACCTATCAAACTGTGTTTTAGCCATGTAGGAAAATTGAAGCTAAATGTAATGTATAATTTAATTTCCTTTAGGTACCATGGAAATCTTTAACTAGTTCGCCAGTTGAAGTTGTTTTATCTGATTTATATCTGATAATTTCTTTAGATCATCCAGATCACTGGTAATTTATGGATTACTCAGGTTTCATAAAGAAAATGGAGATTCTTGAAAAATTTAAGGAATAAATAGTTAAAAGCATTTCAGAAAATTCAAAGTAGTAAAATGATAAGGATGATGGGTATTTCATGAAGGTAGTGTTTAAAATAATTGATAATATATAATTAAGCGTAACGAATATACATATAAGATTTGAGGATACAATAAGGAATGAATTTGCATGGGGAATATCACTAAAATCAGTAGAGACCTTCACCTGCAATTCAGAATGGAAAAAACAATACTTCGATAGAACAAAAGAAGAGAATGTATATTAAAAGAATTAATTATATAGAAAAAAGTGCCTCTATAAAAATTGTTAACATTAATTAATATTGGAGTATACTGGAATTAATAAGAAAAAGAGTTATTCAATTCCTTAGAGAAGGATGAAATATTAAAAAAGATGGCAGAATTAGTAATATCTCAATAAGATCCAAAAGATCATCCAAAGTTTGCTTAATTTATGTTATTACTTAATGCTTCAGGTAGATATTATTAGAATACATCTGGCAAATTTGATTCTCCTGAATACTCATTTACCCTTGAATTGAATACAATTGATTTGGCAATAGAAAATTCATAACTCTAATAGTTGATAAAAATGGCAGAACTATTCTCATTATATTAAAATAGATTAAATAAATAGAAGAAATAGAAGTTATTGTTGACAAAGCAATAAATTGAAGATTAAATATTAATCTTTTAAAATTTATATGAAAAAATATTAAGAAGTTCTGAGCAAACAAATAAGGCCTTGACAAAGAATGAAAATGATCTTTTTGAACAATCTGTTAGTAATTTAAGTATTGATATTCTGTGTGAATCTGCAAGAGAGATAATAAAAGTAGTTGAAAAAGAAAGAGCAATAAAGGAAGCTGAGGATAAAAAGAAAAAGAAAGGAGGTTGGTTTAGTTGGGGTTCAAAAAAGGATAATACCTTAATAGATGAATAAGAAAAGGATGAACTATTTAAGTTTATTGATAAATTAGCTGATTTCCCAGACGTAAAGGATTTGAAAAGACCACCAGAGTATGTTAAATTTGCAGCTAAATTCTCTTTAAAGTCTGGAACAATTCATGTGTTGAAATAGTTTGAAGCAAAAAGAGAAGGAGTACAATTAAAATATTTTGGATTTGAAGGTTAGTTAGAAATTAAAGAAAGTGGAATGATTCTAAATTTAGGATTAAATAATATTGGAATTGATCTTGTAACTGAGCCGATTATAAATAATGTAGTGATGTACTCTCAACAAACTAGAAAAGTATTCGTCGAGTAAGTGAACAAATAGAAATTTATAGATTTTACTTTTGAAACCAATCCAGTACATCATAAAGGAGTAGATAAATATATCAAATTAGAAACAGGATCTCTTAAATTGGTATTTAATCCAATCATTTTGGTTCGAATTCAATAATTTATTGATTTTTAAATAAAGGATGAAACATTGAAAAATGCAGCTTGGGATTAAGTAGAGTATGCTTAAGATTTAGCAGTCAATTAAATGGCTAAAACACAATTATCATCATCTATTTTATTTGTGGATGTGAAGGTAAAATCCACGATAGTTTTGGTTCCAATCCCTGATACAAATGAAAATTGGTTATTGAATTTAGGAGATATTTCGATTGTTACTCCAAATATGAATGAAATTAATTATGATAAGTTTGAGATTACATTACAAGATTTCACATTTAAGCATTATAAATCATTTTAAGAGTGCTAGAAATCTATCACTAATGGAGCATACTTAAATAATATTGATGATTCTTTTAGTGTAATTTAAAATATCAAAGTGTCTATTATTGCCAAACTTTTGAGAGGCAGTTCAAAACCTCCCAAGGAATTGGCATAAATTTCAGTGGATGGTGTGCTTCCTTAATTGAATGTCTTTGTCAATCCATTAATATATAATCGAATCATCAAGGTGGGTGATTGTTTTATTGCACCAATTACAGAACCTGAAGAGGCAATGCTTAGATAATCTAGATTGACTATTGAGAAGGCCTAAACTGAAAGAACTGCTTTGGTTGAGACAGCTACTAAAGTTGGTAAGATTTGGAAAAGGGGGTAATAGTTGAAATGGTCTTAATATACTGGAGTATTAAGTGGGGGTTACATCTATCTATTTGCTAAGCCTAAGGACGAATAGGCAGAATCCTTCTTTTGGGTTAGGAATAGTGATTTCGAAGATGTGCCCTAAGAGGAAGCAGGGATGAGTAATGCATTCTATATAAAGAATAAATATGGAGACACATTAGTAGCATTTGATAAACAAAAGATGGCCAATGATTGGAAGGAGGCCATTGAAGAAATGAGAACATAATTGAAGGCTGAGAAAAATATTGAACATGTACATACACATAGTAATACAAGTATGAGTAAAGAGAGTCGACCATTAAATTTGAAATTTGAATTATCTGGATTCTGTTTACATTTACAAGACGAAAAATTAAGTGATTGGTTATAAGTAGTAATTAGTGGTTTGAGTGCTGGTACATCAATACTAGATGGATCGATCGATTTGGATTTGAAATTAAGAGATCTTTACGTAATAGATAGTGTGTAAAATTATTTGAATCCATTATTTAAGTATATTGTGAAATCGGATCCAGATCCAGAATCAAACGAATTAATAAACATTAATGTTCAATAGATTAATAAAAAGGATAAGAGATACAATAAAAAGAATCTGATCGTCTAAGTTACTTTTGGTACTTTATGTTTAATTGCCAAACCTTTAGTAATTGCGAGACTACTCTTATTTGTTACTCCAGCAGATTAATAGAATTAGATGAAAGGTTATGAAGAAATGGATCAAGCAAAGAGGAAGATAGAGTAGACCAAAAAGGAATTAGAAGGTGCAGCATAGACTGTGAAATTAGATAAAATGTAAGACGTAATTTTGATGGATGTCAATGTTAAAATAAGAAGTATAAATGCTATTTTAGTACACAGATTCACTATTTTACCATTGGCTGAAATCAAGATAGAGAACACTGAAATAGGACTCATTAAATATGTTGATGAATTACAATTGAATGGCACATTGGGGAATCTACAACTTTTTGATCTAACCAATTATCCAAACACTCTTAGTTAGGAATCTGAATATGATCAAATCTAACCTAAATAAATGGTTGGAGTCAAACTACAATAATAGTCATTATTAAAAATGAATTTAACCTTGTTCTCAGATGGCTCATCCAAGATATTTAATAATGTTAATATCATCATCGATGTAGAAATGAGTTAATTAATTATACATGTAATGATGTAACCAGTCTTGAGATTATTAGATTACACTCTCTAATAATTGCTTTACGCTCTACAAAATCCAAAGTAAACCATATCTCCCAATTCAAATTTAATCTAATTAGAAGAAGAATCTATCGAATAATATTAATATTAAAGAACCCAATATGCTAGATAAACTATCAAATTGTCAGAGGAAGAAGCATCTGTCCTATAAAAATTATTAAAAAATCCACCAGGAATGAAATTAAATGTTAAAATTCACAATCCTTAAGTGATACTTAAACCAAACTAAAATTCAAATTCCGCTATGATCATTGATTTGGGAACCATATTTGTATCAAATAAAAGAATCTAAGAAACAAACAGAGTAATTGGTTAAGGATCCGAACCTGTTTGGGTAGAATAATTTATATTAAATATGAAGGATATCTAAATTTATTAATAAAACGAATAAACTAAAAGGGAATTCAGTTTACCATTTGATTTTAATATAAACGTTGAAATATTTACACTTGCTGAGAAATATGCTTTGAATTATCCTAAATTGAAATTTGATGAATAATTAAAGATCAATTGTTTTGTTGCTCCAATGATTTTGTAAATGACCCATTCTGACTACATGTTCTTAATGAAATGTCTATTTCACAATATTGCATATGATGATGGATTTGATAACATGATAAGAATTAACAATCCGGAATATTTTAAAGCCTTCTTTGCATAATAGGATTTGTAATAGATTAAATTAAAAGAAATGCTTAGATAGTAAAATGAGAATCCATAAATCAATTTCTAATTAGATATCGAGAACTTTACTATATTTTTACTAAAAGATATTTAACCAAAACCAACTCCCTTTTAAAGAATGACTTTGATTTTAATGAGAATAACATTTTAAAAGTGTAATAATGGATCAATGAAAGTCAATCTATTGATAAGAGATATGGAGGGCAGCATGTTTTAAGGGGATTAATCCTTACAAGAATTTCATGAATTGCCTTTTATTGGTAATATGAATTTTCATTAAAAATATACTTATGAACAAGTAACCAATTTAAATGGTTTAGTAAGAGGAAAACAAGGAGCATAAAGTAATGCAGATCAATCAATGATTTTGGCAAGTACTGGTTAACTTAGTTAAAGGACGAAGAGAGATTAAATTTTTAGGTTTGAGGATGCCTTTGAATAATAGAATGATGGCAATATTCAATACAAATTGATGTTTTCATTAATAATGAATCTTAACGGAGATAAATTAATTAATGTTGAATTGTCTGATTTTAAGTTGTAATTACATGCTGGCCCTCTATTTGAAGTACTTTAATTAATAGCTATGGATGATCCAGACTTAAATGCAAAACCAGGAAAATTTGTTAATATTTAATTATAATAATAACTATAATAGTAATAATAATAGTATGGGGTATTGTAAATAAAAGTAAACTTAAGGAATGTAATCACTTGTGTCCCATCGTAAGTTGAATCTAATGTCTTAGCTATTCGTGGGATATTTGAGATTACTTTGAAAATGTATCCATAAAGAACTTAGAAATAAGTTTAAGCAGAAATTATGGAAAAGAATATCCCAGAAAAAGATTGGAACAAATTGAATATTGTTATGTCAATAAATGCTAAATTATAAAGGATAGAAATCTTCCTATGTAAAAGCTATGATTTAGGAAAGAAGGATGATTTTAAGTAAGTTAAAAAAAGAGAAATTTTGTAACCTGCTGACATTGAAGTAACGATAATCAAGGCCGCTGTGTACTATGCAAATTCAACAGAGTTTGGAGATGATATTGATATTGTTTGTAGAATCACTCCAATCAATTTAAAAGTTTCCTTTAAAGACTTACTCACTATCCAAACTGGTTTAACATATTAACTGAGCTAGATGCCAAAATAAATCCCTGCCGCTAATAATGAGCAAATGAAAAATAATGAATTGTCTAAATTGGACACTTCTCATCTTGATAAAATATCAATGAATTCAATGAGAATAGATTTGGAAATTGAAAAAACAAAAGTAGTAGTATTAAATGATATGGGCAACACCTTTGCTCCATTATTCGATTTATAAGTAGATCTAATCAAAATTCTATTACAAAAGAAACCTATTCTTACTGAAATTAGTATTTTAATCCCCTTTGAGTTTAAGAATTTTAATCCTCTTACCTCTAAATGGGAACCAATCATTGAGAAAATAGAATTTCAAATAATTTACTTATCTAGTTTGTTGGGTGAAACTAAAAACCTAATCACAATAGAACAATTAAAGGAGGATGCATCTTTTAATCTTAATATATCTTCAATCTGTATTTAGACTGTTCTCAAGGTGCTGAAAATTATGAATAAGATCTTTAAGAAGTCAAATGCTAGAGAATAGAGAAGCATGTCAAAATCATCGTTAACGTCTGAGAATGAGGCGAGTGAAGTACTCATTTAAGAATCACCATATGCAATAAGAAATTTAACAGGGAGAGCTCTTCAAGTTGAGTATATTGATAAAAATAATTAATCACCTTTGAATGTACCTGTAAATCAATAATTAAATTTGGTGTATGACGAAGAAATGGAATAGATGAATAGTAATAAAATAAGAAGAGTAAATGTAAACATTAAATTGGATAAGACGACATTTCCATTGAAATATATTGATTTAGACAAGACTAGAGGAAAGCTTTACGAGCATCAAAATCTACAAGTCTATGGTATAGTCAAATTAGACTAAGTAACAAGTTAGAAGATACTAATAGTTTCATCTCCAATTATAATTGTAAATAAAACAAGCAAATCTATAGTCATACAAATTAGTGATGATAAAAACTAATAAATATTTAAATTATAGCCATTGATCAATGAATTAGATTTAACAAATGTTGTACCTGTGCCAGTTGGATTTGATAATTCTAAATTTTGTTTAAAGGTTGATAATTGTCCACAATTTTCAGAAGAAATAAAAATTGATGCTTTAATTAGAAATTCAGCTGTAGGATAGCCATAAGCAATACATACAAGAGATGGAATTTATATTCAACTGAAAGTATATTTAGATAAGGAATACAAAGATAAAGTTAAAATAGAATTTCAAGCACCTTATAGAATAACAAACTCATTGCCAAAAGAAATTTACGTTCAAATGTTAAATCAAAGAAAAGAAACAACATATATCAAGAAAATATAACCAAAGGAAACCATGGAAGATTATATGCATAGTCTATCTAGTATTGAAAACAAAAACAACACTTACATTAGAGTATTATTGTAAGGCTTTTATTGGTCAAGTGAGTATCAACTATCATCACCATTAATTGAGGAAGGATAAAAGAACAAAAATGATTATTTGGGAAAATTATAATTAGTTGATGGAATAGATAATCAATTATCATTATTAATCTTTGAGCCTTGGCGATAATCAGACTATAATAAAGCAACAAGAGAGTTTGTAATTCATAGTACTGGCTATATAATAAATAAAAGTGGAATGGATTTGTAATATTATACATCTGAAAAAAAGAAGAACTTAGCACCAATTGCAGGATAGAATCCAATCAATTCAGGAGATTCAATAGATAGAAATATAATCTTCATTGGATAAGAGTGTGGAAACATATTGCAGTTGTCTCATTCATCTGCTCCTCAAAAAATATCATAATTCCCAATTTAAATATCATCTAGTATTGGTGAACCATTCATTGATGTCATTAGGGTAGATGAAGAGGATTCTAGTAGATTTCTTTAAACATATCTAGGAGCTAAACTGGATTTGAAGGTTTGTAATAACAAATACACTCTTTTTTCAAAGGTGATAACAATAGAGCCTAGATTTATATTGGTAAATAACACTGATAAAGAATTGATAATACACGATCTCGATGGAACTTATCATTAAATTATTTAACCTAATCAAAGAGCCATTTCCTAAGTTAAATATAATGTCAAGCAGAAAGATCCATTTGATTTCCAATATATAACAATGAATCTAAATGAATATACCTATCATCCAAGTGGCAGAATCAATATATGCTGCGTTGGTATAGTAAATTTTCAATTGAGAAAAACTCAAAACTCTTAAGAGAAATTATATTTTAGTTGTGACATTAGAAAAGAAGGATGCAGTTTATATGTCATCTTTAGTTAACTCTCTCTCGATTAAGCACCATATAAAATAGAACTTGAAGCTGAAGCATTAGAATTAGTAATTTAAGAGTTGAAAGTCACTCTCAGATAAGATAATTAAGTTGCCTACTTTGCTTCTGATGATCCTTAATAAACCAGTAGGATTTTGAATGTAGAATTGAGAGTTGCAGATGATCCTTATAATGATTTTACCCCCTTTAAATATAAACTTAATCCAGATATCATTGGTGTATTTAAGATCTACACTTTTAAACCTAAAAAAGGATCTATGGCTAATCCTATTTCTGTTGCTTTGACTATCATGCCTTAAGGTAATCAGAAACATGTTAAAGTGGCCATAGCCACATAGGAATAAATAACACTCTATCAATCAAAACCAAAATAGGACTTCTTAAAGTAAGTCAAAGAGAAGGAAAATCTTGGAATAGAAATGAATGAAGACTCCATAAGATAATCGTATTCGCTATAGTAATCACGTCAATCTCAATAATAAGATGGTGATAAAATCTTGACGAGAATAAATCTTAAGATTAATGCATTTTCATTATCTGTTATTCATAATTCTCAAATGAAAAAGAGACCAGCAGAATACTTTCACTTTTTATGTAAAAATATAGAATTTGTTGTTATCTCAACAGATATTAGTTAAGTTGTTTAATTGAGAGTACAATATATAAATTTTGATCATAACGCATAATTTTTTGTTCAATTTCCTGTTATTTTAACACCTTAAAAATATTCAATATATTAACCAACTTAAATCTAATAATAATAATAACAATAATAATAATAGTAATAGTAATAATAGGAAGCTGTCAAATAATTTTAATAGAGCGAAAAATACTTTTTCAACTTCTTGATCATGAAGGATAATAGAGTTACATCAATCAACTTATTTTAAAATGTCACTTTGGAAATAGATCCATTTGAAGTTAAAATAGAATAGCTATTCATTAATAATTGCTTAGATTTTATTTGGGCTATAACATCGTATTAAGGATTAATAAATGATTATAATAAAACCTAATCAGAAATTTTAATGAAATAAAAATAATCAGATACTCAATCATTATAAGAAAAGTAATAGAGTAGCAATAGTCAAGCATAAATTGAATCAGTTTACTTAGTGAATGAAGAGTGGAAAACTAAGTAATTACCAAAAGCATAATTACCAACTTATATCAGTGAAATCATCATATCCCCAATAGCCATAAATGTCACTTTCTAAATGACAGGCAAAGGAGATCTAAAACTAAAATAGTCTGCCTTATTTTCATCCATAGCCTAAGCTTTGGGAGTTGCATTAACAGATGTAAGTGATGCACCAATTGTTATTTCAGGATGGCAACTCGAGAATTGTTTCGATACAATTCCAGGAATACTTAAGAAAATGTAGGAATTTTATCTTGCTGCAGGTTTGAAGTAACTAGGCAAATTAATTGGAAGCTTATCAATTATAGGTAATCCAATTAGTTTATTTAATAATGTATCGACAGGCTTTAAAGATTTCATTGATAAGCCAGCTGCAGGATTAACTTAAGGTCCTTTAGAAGCTGGTTTGGGATTAGCCTAAGGAGCTGGATCATTAGTATCTCATACTATATTAGGAGCAATAAACTCAGTTAACAAAATAGCTGGGAGTGTAAGTGGAGGTTTGGCAAATTTGGCTATGGATGAAAATTATTTAAGAAAGAGAGAAAAGATGAAGATGTAGAAACCAAAGCATATTGGCGAAGGTCTAGGATAAGGAGCCCAATCAATAATGACAGGAATAACAGATGGAATTGCTGGAGTATTCTTGAAACCCATATAAGAAACCAAAGAAAAGGGTTTGAAAGGAGTCTTTACTGGAACAGCTAAAGGATTTGCTGGACTCATCATAAAACCAATAACTGGGGTTTTAGATGGATTCTCGTAAACAGCAGCTGGAATTCAAAATACAGTTCAATATTTTGAAGATAAACCTAATAATAATAGATCTAGAAATATCAGACCTGTTTATGGATATGAGGGATATATTACTGATTTCGTTTCACTTGATGCCGAAGCCTATGCTACTCTTTAGTTCATACGTAGGGGCTAATTAATAAACAATAGATTTGTAGCATCCTACTTTTTGAATTCCGAACAGGATGGTTATTGCATGCTAGTCTTGACTATTGAGCATTTTATATACATGTCAGTAAAGACTAAGAAGAAAGTATAATTCCTATTTAAGTTTAGGTTTGGATATTGGCCTCAAATGAAATTACTCATTTAGAGATCGTTCCTTCAGGACTCAAGATTTAAGTGAACAAACCTTAAAAACAATTGAAAGTATAGAATAATTAATTATTTAGAACAAATACATTACTTAATTAGTCTTAGGAGAAGACTTGAAATATGATATCTTTTAGACTATGTAGAGCATATGGGATTCGGTAAAGGTAAATAAAAATTGAGTGGTTATTTAATTAAATAATAATTTATATTATCATATTCAAACTTTCAATTCTCATCTAACTTAATTAATATTCTTTTTCCATATTTTAATATTTATTAATCCTTTGTTTATGCCTTATAATTAATGTTAAATTTACCAAGTTCATTTCGATTATCTATCTAATTTACAATTCTTCAAATTTTTTTCGACATTCAGGATAGGCACAAAGATTCCCTATAGAAAATAAGGATATTCTTGTTGGTTGAGACCCTTTGTCTGTTTTCACCAATTCTAACAATTAATGTAAAGCTCCATGTTTTATTAAATCCTTTGTTAAGGCATTAGAATTCCTTACAAAATTTCCTAATGCTCCAGCTGCATTTGCTCTAGTTTTTTCCTTATTATTTTAGATTATAAATATACTTCCTAATCTCTTAATAATTCAACTAACATTGGTACAACTGGTCTTAACTATTCATACAATCTATCACTATGAAATCCTGCATTTCCAACTGCAAAACAAGCAAATTTACGTGTATGCTTATCTGGATCTTGGCAACATTTGATGCAAAGATTAATTAAATCGAATTTGAGTAAGTGCTCATAAAAGAAGGAAGAATGTCGACACAAATTACCAATCAAATTGCAAACCTTTGCTCTAACATTAGAATCAGGAGATTAGATTTACTATTTCAAGTCAGTATACAAATTAATCGAATGAATATTTGGATAAAAATCTTTACTAATCCTGGCTAGTTATGACAAGATATTAATAGAATCAACACTCATTATTTAATATTTCTACAAAATAGCCAATCCATTGTTTTATACAAAACTTTATGCAAATTGTTTGTCTTCCTCATTATTTCCAACTAATCTTGAAATGAATGAAATAACTAATGATATGTGATCTTTTTATAGATATTTTATCAAATTTAAAGTTAAAGCTACTATCTCTTGATTACTCAATTCTTTAAAGACATTATCACAATTTTATTCTTAAAATGCCAAAATGAAAATTCGAATGATTTAAATGCTCATTACATTTACGCAAGCCAAACCTCCTCCACTTGAAGAAGGCCATTCTTGAATACTTTGTAATTAAGCTTCTTTTAAAAAGGAACATAAAATTCTGATAGAGTTTTCTTAAAAGATTAATTATCCTAAGGCTTTGAAATTTGAGTATATTGAATCATGGATTAGAATTAATAAAGATACGAATCCTTTTGGAGATACATCATTCCTACTAGTAACATTTAATAAAATCTAAAACAATAATTGGTGTATTTCATATTTTTCCAATAATTAAAACAGATCTGTCAATTTCTTTTACTCCTTATTATATCTAAATAGTAATTTTTATAACAATGTAATAACTCCATCAACGAATCCATAACTAGGACATCCAAAACTACTACCCTCTAGTTTTCTAATTTCCTCTGTTCTATTTTGTTTCTTATTCGGATTGACTAGTTCGCTTAATAGTTTGTAAGGTAGTTATTAACTAAAATAATTAAGTAATTGATTTGTAAAATTGGTTTCTTATTAAAGTAATTCTGCAATCAACTGAATTGCTGATAAAGAAACAATAGGATTTAACTAAATATTATTCTCAAAAATTTCAATCACCTATTATAAATTAACTTAATATTCCTAATTTTTATTCTTATATTATTAAACTAAGATCAACAAGGCAGTTCCTTAAAATAATGCTTCATCAGAATTAAGTGCTTGACTAATCAATTCCTTTGAAACATGGACATCTTTACTAACTCTAATCATTTATAATAAAATTCTCAATACAGAGATTCTTGTTAAATTTTACTAGTCATCTTGTTCATTATAAATTTTCATATGATCAATATCAGCATAAGCAGCAACTATCTGATTTTTCATTGATTCAAACAGAGGTAATGCCTCATTAAAATTTAAAATTTAAATTGAATATCCTTTTTTCCAAGGAAAACTAAATATTTCTCCATGAATAGGATGTATCAATACTCCAATTACTTAGGTAGCAAATTTGTGAAGGGTAATGTTATTTTTTGTCAATTTAGCAGTTTCTTAAGCTAAGTTATGTTCAACTAATTCTTTATAAAATAATACAGATCTTACTGGATTAAGACTAGCTTAATTAGCAAATATCCCAATAGTTTTGATTGTGTTAATTAATTCATTATTTTATCCAATCTTCAGAATTTGGGCAGTCATACCTATGAATTTAATAAATATATTGTCAATTCCAATATTTTTATCAAAGGTGGCTTTGGCCAAAAGTCCAATAGTTTTAATTAATTCAGATAGCAATTCAGAACTGCCTTATTTTAGAATACTCTTAACATGAGTAACCAATTAAATCGGAATTTATTAATTTTTCACAACATCCAAGCCTTCTTATAAATTCCCTTTAGTTATGACTTATCCAAAGACTTTCAAAGCACAATGCAAAGATGGTTTCTTTGGAGGAGCTAATACTTGAAGCAATTTATCTAGAAATCCAGGATCGCACCTTAATTATGTAGCACCTTGAACATCATTGGCAATTTATTCACTTTTCACCCAATATTCATCATTACAAGGCATTCTTCTAGGAGAGATATCTCTTGTATCTTTACCCTGATCGTAAGTTATGATATCTCTTGTAGGCGTTAAAGATCTTTTACGTTTATCAATTACTTCATTTTCAACTCCAGCCCATTAGCTATATTATTCTAATCTTTTCTTCCTATCATATTTTTCTTAGTCAGACTCTTATATGAATGGATGGTTTAGTAGATCAGGCCATCCTAACCTATCAGAAGGTGTTTTATTGAGTAGCCCTTTTAAGAAACTTTTGAATTCAAGACTCATATTATCTGGATATTTTACAGGATCCTTTATGATAAGTTGAATTAAAGAGTAAATTTGATTTGTATAGAATGGAGGTTAGCCAACGAAAAGTTCGTATAAAATCACACCCAATGACCATAAATCAACTGTGTGATTATAAGGTTATTCTTAAACTAACTCTGGAGCCATGTATAGAGGAGTACCTTTGATTGAATGCAACACCTGAGTATTTGTTGACATCGCTCTTGCAAAACCAAAATCACACAATTTAACAATCCCATTCGCAGATAGTAAAATATTTTAGGGTTTCATATCCCTATGAATAATTCTGTTTGAATGCAGATAATGAAGTGCTCTAACCAATTATTATGCTATTTTTCTGACTTCACTTTCAGGAAGATTACGATCATCCTCCAAAATTTCATACAATTCTCCTTGTGCGAACTAATAAATAAAACAATATAAATTACTTCAGTTACTAAGCAAAATTCGCCTTGTGTCTCAAATGCATCTAATAATAAGATTATATTTTCATGCTTCAATCTTCTCAATATTTCAATTTCCTATCTCAAATTTGCTAAGTCTTTTTCTGTTTTTCCCCTTTTACTTATGAACTTCAAAGCTGCCATTTAATTGCTTTTCTTCTATCTTCCCTTAAATACCTTTCCAAATTAGCCTTCCCCGATTAAATGCAATACATGATAATTTTCCATTTGATTTTAATTTATAATGTATATGTTAATTTTAAATAACTTCTTATTTACTATAGAATATTTGATCAAAATAATATTCGTTTTTATAAGTAATGAAAATTCAATTCCTTTTGGCATGCATTGTTCTAGCGTCCACTCAATCTTCATTCCTTGAAGAATCCTTAATAAACAGATCGTTTGCCCCCATGATGAATATACTCATAGAGAAATCAACTGATCCAACTTAATAATAATAATTAGAAACAGCCACTCCTCCTGATACACTTCTCACAGCCACCCTTGATAGTTACATTGATGCTTCAAAATAATAATAAATTCTTATTGCACAGCAATATGAGTAAAATTTACCAGCCAACGGTGATTGTATTATTCTTTATGGAGAATGTGAATATAAGGGACCATCTTTCAAATATTGTGATTAACCAGGAGAATACATCAAATTTGATATCCCTGTACATTCAGTTTACATCCCTATTGGGTATTTCATACATATATTTTAGAATGTCACTCAAAATTAAAGATGCCCTCTAAGGAAATAAGCTTAATTTAATTTATAGTCATGAATGCATATCTGAAGGTATTCACATTCCAGAACCCAAAATTTATGAGGATCATCCAAATGAATGGTTTGGTGAAATTAAAGAATCTGAAAAAGCTGTTCTAGATGCTGGAGAACTTGCAACTCCATAAATTAAATATTATGACAATGATGGAAAGGTCATTTGTATATTAATAATATTATTTCATTAGCTAAAGAAGAATACTAAAAATTAGTCGAAGCTGATATATAGAGATCCCATAATTTCTATCTTGGAATTGTAGAATAGCCAGATTATTCTTAACCATAATAATAAACAGAATCTAATGAATGAAATATTCACATAGTAAACATAAATTAATATAATTTCCCTTCTTTGAATTTATATAAGATTTGTTAGTAAATGCAGTATATTACCAGAATTATTTGTATTTTGAAAGGTTGAGCTAAATTTAATAATACAGTGTTTGATATATTCTAAGTTTGTTATTATCAAGGTTAAAACAATCAAAAATATTTTTGTATCGAAATCATATCTAGATTTCTTAATTAATGAAGGAATCCTGTATTTCGACGATATTGGATTAAAATAACCTTTATTTATGTTTTATAATTAATAGCCTTTGTTTTTATAAATTTTCTTATCTCCATATACTTCCAGAATAAAAAACCTATAAAAAAATAACATTAAGCAAATTGAAATTTTAATGTACATATTTATTTTGAAAAAACGATTGTTTTCTTTATAAAAGCTGCAAAATTCTTTTGAAATATCATTTAATAGTTTATTATGTAAATTCCTTCGATTAATTTCTGAATTTAGATGTAATAAGTAAGACATCTTTAAGATAACAATAAATGCGCGAAAAATTTAGATGAGGTTATGTTTATTAGCAGATCATTAGTTAATAACAGGAGTAGAAAATTATTTCTGAAATACATAATAAAGTCTTATGATTATTGAAGAATTTGAAAAAGGATTAATCAAATTTTAGGCAATAAATAGAAGAAAAAAGTGGTAGAAAATGTGGATATTTTAAAGAATTTTATAGGTAATATTGTTTAGCTAGAGAAAACTGTTACTACAAAATTAAAGATACTCATTTAGTGTATTGATAATTTTATCGAAAAAAATTTACCTACAAAGATAGAAACCCTGTAAAAAGTAAATTTCAGTAATTTAGATAATATAGAATAATTTAATTGTTCAAATATATTTGACAAAATAAAACAATCTAATGAATTAGATATACGGGCTTTCAAATTTTGAATTTTTAGAGTAGAACAAAAATTAGTAGAATTAATTGATTCATAGGATAATAACTATTAATAATTTCTAGACCAAGAAGATATTTAAGATTTTTAATTAAATCAGCTAACAAAAATTAAGAAATGATTGGGTTTTTGAAAAGGATTAAGGTCAATTAAAGATTATAGATCTGAAAGAAGAAGAAGTTCAAAAAGGGATATAATTCTGGTGGCAAATATTTTTAGTTAACAACATAAAAATTACCAACTAAGTTAAAAATATGAAGATTAAGTTTTTAACAAATTATAAAAATTAAATAAAATTTTCTAAGATTCTATAACAAATATTAGGAGATTTAAGACCAGTTTACATTTCAATTAATGATATTCTAAAATCAGAGTCTTAAACATATAAATACTTTAAGAGGAACAGAGCATACTAATAATAATGACAGATTTCCATAATACTTCATAAAAATAAGAATATAAGCGAATTTAATACGAGCAAATGAAGGATTATTTAATTTATGAGTCAAACTTAATTCTATGATATTCTGTTTTGATTCCTCAAAATTTATTATAGGATATACAGATGGAAAAATTAAGGTATTTGAATTTATATTTGAAAAATTATGTTAAAGGTAAGAGTTGCATGAATCTAGGTGAGGTTGATTGTTTAGAATCAAAAAAAAGATTCTTTGGATTTATAACTGGAACCAAGGACAAAATCATTATTGTATGGAAAGAAATTGTAATGGAAAAGTCTTTGCTATAGATAAAAGCTCACCCAAAACCCTGGCATAATTCATTTTTTAACAATCAACATAGATGAAAATCTCATAATTTTAGGTTGTGATAAGGTAATCCTTATATGGATTAAGGAGAAGGATAAGGATTGGATGCTTTCATATTTGATAACAGAAAATATAGGTTAAGTCCCAAGTATAAGTTTGAATAATTCACAAGATTTATTCATTGCTTCAATTAAAATTTTCAAATCAATTTTCATATTTAAAAAGCTATAAAAGATTTATGGTCAGTATAATAAACGATCAAAACAGATGATTGGGCATATAATCTATTATTTATAGACAATTCTTTATTTACATTTCAAGTATTTTAGTAAGCTATTTATAAAGTAGGAAATTATATATTTAATTTTAATAATCAAGGTTAGATATATAAATAATAACAATTTATATATACATATAAACAATTTCATATTTTTCTAATTTCCAGAGGTATTGTTTCAAATATTGTTATTTTTTTATTTGGCTATTTTTATGTGCATGCTTTTATGAGTTTATCCTTAATGACTCTTAATTACTATGCCAAATCAAAGACTACAGAAAATATTAAGATAAAAGTAAATATTGCAATATGGAACCATCCTACGATATATTTTTAGTCTAAAGTTAGATTAGGCATTGAATACAAAATGAAGAAACTAGTGGCCAAAGTGATTTTGGATTCCACAAATATCATTTTGTAGTACTCGTAACAATTTGTCATAGGTCTCTTAGATACAAGGTATAAAGCAAATGAAATATGAGTAATCGAAATAAGGGTTGTTTGTAATTATCCAGATTATTGCATAAAAATGAGTAAAAGCATAAATACTAATTTTTTAATTAATAGTAGCGAATTGAATTATCTAGCCCACAATCCATGATTTTCTGTGACTCCTTCAGATAAAACAGTGAATTAATCAGAAATACCATTTGATTACTAGTTTTGTTTTGATAACATCAAGAATATGATGGTTAATACTAGGCAGAATGACATTCCAGCAATTAAGACACTAACTGATGTAATAAAGAGGTGAAATTCAGGGTAATATAACTAAAGCAAGACAGTAAAAAGAATTTCATATGTATTGGTAAGAAAAATTCTAATTATTCCAGAATAGAAAAAGTAAATTTAGAATCTTACTAATAATCGATATAATTAAGTCAATTTTAAAAAGTATTTATGGTTGTATAAATAGTGGATATATTTGTTTATAGCATGAATGAGTAATAAGCTAGCATAAAAGGATGCAAAGGTAGTACAGAAAATCATCATGGAGATTCCAAAATTATAAAAGTAAAATGCATTAATACTGTCTTCTTTAAACTTGTTAGTGGTTTCAATGAATATAGTTTCACCGAAACTAAATAGATTGACGATTGTTTAAAAGTGGATGAAATCTAAAAATGGTTGTAAAGTTATTACTCTAAATAAATCAAAGAATGAATTCAAGTTAGTGGGAAATTGTATATTGATATACTTAATATATGATAAATACTGAACCATGTCTAATAGATTCCAAAATATATCTAAGTTTCTAGTGAGAACAGAAATTAAAGCTATGGCTAAAAGTATGTAGAGCAATATTGAATTAACAATAGTGGAAGTTGATGATATCGTTTTATCTAAGGCTGATTCATAATAGCATGTAAATAAACGAATATTTTACTTGGTTTTGACAGGATGCTAATTATTTTCATCAATAAATTCTGAAGGTTTAAAAGAGACCAATAGCGATGGACTCTCCACACTTACAAAGAACTCAACATTGATTACATACAGTACAGGATCAAAGGTAGTGGTTGAGTAAGTGTTGTTATTTACTATATCTATTTTATATAGATTTGGATTCAAATTTAGGATGTTAGCTTCAATGAGATTGTAATTAGATTTATTATTTACACCCAGATACTTAAGATTGGATGTAAATGATAACTAAGTGGACTGTTTCAAATTTGGAGCAATAGTTAATAGTGTTAAGACCATGGAAGGCTATTGAGTAAACTCGCAAACAGATGGTAAATTTACGTTATTGACACAATTCCAACTTTCCTCGATCATGCAACCAGATGAGCATCCATCAAAGGAATCGATATTAGCATCATCGCATTATTCATACTATATATCAGTTGTAGCTACAACTATGCCATCTCCACAAATAACTTCACATTGTCCTTATATTGATATTGTCCATCCAAATTAACACTCTAAACAGAGTCCTTGGGAACATAAATTGCAGGCGTAATGACACTGATATTAGCAATTGTAACATCCATCATACTTATCAAAGTTCCCATCATCACATTGTTCTTTCCCTTAAACAATTTCATCACCACATTTTGTAGTACAATTATCATTATTATCTAAGTAATATCCTTACTCATAGTCACATTCTACACAAATACCTTCTTAACATATTAAACACCCAATCACACAACTATATTAACAATTATAACATCCATCATTTGCTCTAAGATTACCATCATCACATTACTCAACATCTAAGTTAACAATCCCATCCCCACAACTATTTTGACACCGTGTTTCGTAACACTTCCCTTAATACCAGATGCATGTTAAGCCATATTTATCAAGAGAGCATGATTCTTGATTATCGTAATCCGAACAATCATCAATCATAACACATTTATTCTAAACAGTACTAAATGTGCAAGTAGCCATAAAATTCTGACATTAAGGATGGTTATGATAATATTGAACATCAGCTAATTCACACTTTCGATTAACACATTAGTTATTGTACCACAAACATTAAAACCCTTATCTTGAGATTGTACATTGATAATCAAATCGGAAATCGCTGCAACTATATGAGGTAATACATTAAACACCATTGGTGATGCATGCACCATCGAGGATCGCTTTGCAATATTTATCACTTTAATAGAAAAAGTCTTCACATACAGTCATTTGACATCCTTGGACACAATTTCTTTAGGTATTATCTCTAATATTGAGAAATTTGCAAGTGTTGTTGTTGTAGCTATTGCAAGTTGCTTTGTCTTAGCAACCGGATCCAGAATTCGCTAAGGTGCATTGATTTAGTAATGATTCACAACCAAGTGCAGTTGTGACAGTACTATCAATATTGGAACATGTAAGTTATTTACATACTCCATATTATTTGCTCCAGTAACATTTATTCCTACTTGCATCTATTACGCATTGAGTTCTAAATGCTAAATTACAAGTCACTGGTATATTTGTACATCCCCCTTGAACTTAGGAGATGGTACAGACTTGATTGGTTGGAGATATGAATTATTCACATTTAGTGATTGTATCAATCTCTTGGGGTGCTGTTGTGCAATCCACAATATTAATACATTATGTCTCTTGATAGTTGACTGTGCAAGTGGTTAACCATTATGAGCAACTCGTGTGATTAAAAACATTAAAAGGATAATTAGAACAAGTCTTACTTACACAAGCATTACTGATCCAAGCACAATTGTTTAGGGATAAATCTGTTGTTGCATTACACAAAGTTTCACTTAAATAAGAATTGCAAGTTGCTAATTTACTTTAACAAGTGCCTCCGATTAGATTGCATTTACTGAATTGCTCACATGATAATGGAGGTGACACTAATGAACTATATTAAGAGCATTAGGCATCTATACAAGAAGCTCCATTCCAGTGACAATAATTATTGGCTGTGATGAGTGCATAATCACATAATTATTAAGTCGTATAAAGATTACAAGTGGCTAATATAGTTCTACAACCATTTAATGTTGTATTTAACACGCATAGCTTATTAAATTATTGGCAGATCTGATTGCTATAAACTCCATTTAAAGTTACATAAGTTGAACATTGATTGTAAATACAAGTAGATGTACTCAAGTCCCAATAACACAAATTTCCATAAATATCTTTTGTACATTAATAAATCGATGTATATTAAGAACAACTCCCTTTTTTAGTTTGACAGTAACTATTTTTATCACTAAAGGTATATTTAATTACACATCCATTGTTTTAATTATTACAATCCTCAAATGTCAAAGGATTCTTAATTCCAGAACATTAGTACTGTTCGCTACAGACACTATCTGCCCATAAACACTTATTTCCACTCTTTAAAATAACTTATGAACATAGTAATTGTGTTGTTGCAGTACTACAGACATTTTATTTGCATAGGGTTGTGTCCCAATAACAATAAGTTAAACTTTAACAGCTTGTTAGATTTAGTTAGAATTTACATTCCGATTTATTTTGGCATACACTATTACTCCATGTACATTAGTTGAGTTTGTTACAATATTCCATTTGGGTATACTCATCACACGATTTGAATTCACATCCAACAGTGGTCTTGGATAATCTACATAAGTCATATTTTATGCATTGATATTCGTTGTATGTATTAGTGAAAGCATTAGTACAATCAAAATAGTCAACACAAGAGGAATTCAACCATAAGCATTTAAGGTTGGAACTATTATAAGCTAATTGGCAATAAATCTCATTAGTAATCTGATTGCAATTAGTGATATCTACACAATTGGAGGTTCCTTCAATACATTTATTATTATACAGCAAACAGCTGTTGGCACCACTGATCTGCGAACATTAGATTGTTTAACAAGAAGTCCCATTCCATGAACAATATGATCCACCTGATACTTTGCCTGATACGCATACTGTTGAACCAGATGATGTTAAATCATTGCAGTTCAATAGAGTTGCACATTTAGTTCCATTGTAATAGCAAAAACTTTAAAAAGATTAGCAATTTGCCATGTTGGCTGTACCAACAAAATCAGTACATAACTTTTCAACACATGTTCCTGCGGTCCCAATTTTACATTAAACATTTTAAACTGTAATGGCATTGCAGTTTATATGAGATCCGTTGCATTTATTTTGAGAATAACATTTACCATTATATGAAACACATTTATCACCTGTGGGCAATTTAACTGTACCATTAATAGATGCACAGAGAGTTTAATCCTTGATGAACTCACAATTATTAGAATTCATGCAACCTATACCTGTAACAATATTGAGAATGCAATCAGGATTATGCTTTTGGCAATCGTAATTACTTGTAGCATCAGTAATCCATTCACATAGATTTGCTAATATTTGAGCACAACATCCATTACCATAATAGCAGTACGTAGTTTAACATCTTGGAATGGTTTCATTACATACAATGGCATTTAAGATTGAATCACATTTTTATGGTCTGCTTATGCAACCTACATTGTCTAAATAGCATTGTTGATAATTAAGATAGTAAGTACATTCTCTTTCAGTGGTAGCAGTAGTATTATCTTCACAAACAACATCTTCGCATTTTTCATTAACTGAGTTCCATTTACATGGTTAATCACTATTATTAATCTTACAGTCCAATTTATTTTTGTATGCTGAACAATAGGTCTTAAAAATACAAACTGCAATTAAATTATTAAGTTGACAGGTTGAATCAACCGTCTAACACTCATTTATATCCACAGTCTCATTAGAATATCCATTGCATTTCTTAACACATTATATTCCATCCCAAAAACATAATTAATTATCAATACCTACCACACATTGATGTTAAAGGAAATAGCTTTCGCAATTAAGTCTGGGTTCACATCCATAAACCTTTTAAATTACTGTGCATAAACCATTGAATCTATTGCATTTTTCATGTCCATCATATTGACTTGTATTGCTAGCAACATTGCATAAAGTATTGTTCTGCTGAGGTTAACATAAAGAACCTGTCCATTCACAATAGACTCCTGATTATAATCCAATATAACATTATTATTCGCTTATTAGTTCTAAACAATTATTTGGCCAATCTTGACAAGAAGTTCCAAATTCATTTATTATGCAATCACTTTTCCAAACTTAGCAATCTTAATGAGTTGTAAAATTTCCCATTCCACAAGTTTTGTCTTGACACTTATCATCTAAGAAAATACATTATATTCTATCTAATGTGCTTTTACATTAAGAAGCATTATTATAATCTGAACAATTTTAGTTCTTATAAACACAACCAGTTCCAGTATTCGAATCTTTCAATTCAACAGTACAATCAATATTCCATTGCTCACATTGAGTATGATTATTGTAATTTTTAGGAGCCTTTGAACAATATGCAATTGTACATGAATAAAATTGACATATATCACCAGATTTTTATTTATAACAATAAGTCATGTCTGTTACTGATTAACAATATTATGGCAAATCAATACAATATCCATTTAAATCACCAACACATGAAAGGTCATCTTTCCATAAAGCACAAGCAGTATATTATGGTGCAATTTGACAAGTCTTCAACACACATTAATTACTTGTCCACAAACATTATTATTATGCAGAATCAAGCTAACAAGAATCTTCAGTTTCGAATTAAATGCAATTTTAAGGTCTAGATTTACAATTCCCTGATTAAGTTGGCACACAATCCAATTCCTAAAAATAGCTATAACAATCATTTCCGATTGGAATTTATTAACAAACTTTTTTTATGCAAATTATTCCCGTCCAAAAACATTCATTACCATCAACATCTATTACGCAACCATTGATGTGTGTAATGTCTTGACACTATTGTCTCAGAACACAATTAAAACCATTTGTAGTGCAAGATGATAAAAATTATTTACATTATTTGTCTGTAGAAAATTATGCATTCAAACAGATTTTTTCCATACATTTACCTTTCATTTAGTTCCAAAAGCATTCCTTTCCATCAATTGTATTGAAACATTGGAATATCTTATATTCAATACATTAAGAGGCTTTAGCTGTACAGAAACCTTTCTAATCTATTGTACATTAACTTATTGCATTTTCACATTAAATATGCGATTTCAATATTGGTAAATCAGAACATTCAAATATCTTAAAACAATTTGGAGTTTATTTTGTATTCCATTAGCAATATCCTTAATGTAAATCTTGATTTTTGCATGCTTCTTATGTTAAATAATTTTGGCATTCACTTTTTTATATACAAGTGCTCCCATCTGATATGCAATTTATTGATGACGCACATTTATCAATTGCGAATATTTCACAGCCTTTGAAATCCATACATGAACCATCCTTAAATGCACAATCTTCCTATTAAACGCATTCTTCCGATAAAAACTAGTCACATTTGTTTTCAATTTTACTGATATAAGATGGATTGTTATCACACATTTTGTTTAACCATTGACATCTTTTAGAGATCTCACAAGTGAATTAATCAGGAATTTGAAAGCATTGACATTATTGAAGTTAGGTATTAATAGTTCTGAATAACAATAAATAAGGTAAGATGTATTATATCATTTATTTTAATTATTCAAATCAGCCATGTTCAATTTATAATTAAATAATATTGGATAACATAATCAACAAGAAATTAATATATTAATAATTCTATATTATTATAAATTATAATACATAATTGAAACACCCTAGTATTTTTAGAAAAATCCTAATCATCGAAATAATTTGGATTTGTAATTCAAGAATATAATTTATTTAATGTGAATTCAAAACATTACTTACATAATATTAATTAATTAATTGGAAAAAATGGGTACGTTGCTCAAAAAAATGAATGAATTATTTGGGGATATAAAAGAATATAATAAATATGAAACATAATATTGTACTTTTTACATATTTTTCCCTATTATGCAATCGTATCAAGTATTAAGAATTGAGTGAATATTGATAAATCTTCAATTAGTATTTATTATAATAATTTACTTTTTATAGTTGTTTTTTATCTTATGCTAATCATTTTATGTGGTTTCTACTTTTTTGAGACTCAATTTATCAGTAGTTCGAGATATTTTATATTGATATTTATCATTTGAATAAATAGGAAAATAAAATAATATAATATATCTTAAATTTTAAAATATTTAAATTCATTATAAAATAATCATGCAATCCAAATTAAAATCAACCAATTTTTATATCATACTTAATTTCAAAAAAATAATAGGTTTTTAGCAATGAATAAATTAAAACAAGAATATTAAACTAAAGAAGATTCCAAGAATAATAAGACAACTAATAATCAAATCAATCTAAGCGTTGAGAAATAACTATCCAAAATTTACAAATAAAAAGATAATTGCATGTTGTGTATTTCATGTTAATAAGATATTATGAGACAGAACATATACAATCATATATTTGAACCATTACATATACTCAAACTCTAAGAATACTTTATCTAACAAAGTAGTAATGCTTAAAATAAAAGAGAAAAGATTTAGAAAAAAGTTGATCGTAAAACTCAGTCTTTTCAGACTTAATATATCAAAAACGAATAAATAGGGAAGGAAGATAAAAAACACTAAACAATTGAGATTCCATAAATAGATCAAGAACTTAATTAGAATATTAATAGAAATCAGATTGAAAGGTTTGTAGAAATCTTATAATATGATTTGAAATGTATTGGTAAAATATAATTATCACTTATTGTGTCAATATTGGTTAAAACTTATTGCACAATAAACGAAATAATAGAAATGAAGTTCTCCCAAATTTTAGATAAATGTACTTTTTATTATATCAATATTAATAATTCTTGGGAAAAGAGTTACTTAATTCTAAAATAGAGGTTTCCAGAGTATTTATAAGACTTTATGAGTAGGAATTTAGGATCCAATAAACATTTAATTAAATTATTAGGATAAAATAAGAGATAGACTTTAAGTAAAGAATTATGGCTCAGCTGTAATAAAATATAGTCCCAAACTACTGATGCAGAATATATTAGTTTTTTGTAGGGTTTAACTTTAAAAAAACTGAAAAAGATTTCCCTTGAGAAGATGGCAAAAAAGAATAAGATTCAAGTTTAAGATGAATAGATTACAAAGGAGATAACCCAAAAGAATTAAGCTTAATCAAAAAATCAAGATTTTTAGAAGATAGAATAGATAAAAAACCCAGAAAAAAAGTAGGCAATAAAAATAATAATTAAATAAAGATCCATTGAAAATTAGAAATAAGAATTGGTAGATTGACATAATGATATATTTATTTCTATTTCAGAAATATTAAATTAATGAGGTACATTATATTATATGAAATATCTCTAATATCAAACTCTATAGTGATACTTTATTAGTGGAAAATCGACACTTACTTCCTATCCATTTATCATTTAATAGGAATCCAAAATTACATCAAAACTGATTTCATCTTCTGGCAACTTTTCTTTCGATACTTTTGCATATAAATCAGCACAGTCTTTCGTTAGTCTACAAGAATTACAAATATCTATACAATTCTTAAGACGATTTTTTAAATTTTGAATATATCAAATGCTGATTGAATCCTATAATTTACACATTTACATTATATTTCTGTTCAAAATATTCTATAAGTCCCCCTACAGTCATTTTCTTATTAATCCTGATTCTATCCCAGGATGTCCAATCTAAGGATTAATTAAATAATACTTTTAGGGACTGCAATAGTTCGATCAAGAAATTATTAATTAAATTCTTGATCCACATTTTAATATGGAGGCTTTGGTTAAGCAAAAATAAAAGTGGGTATGGCAAGATTAATATATGTATTTCTAATATATTTAATATTCTTTTATAGAATATTTTTGAGTATTTCAATTCCCACTATTCCAGTTATAGCGGATTTGGTTGTTATCAATTAAGGAATGATACATTCAACTCTTTCTCTCACTTATTATCTAGATGCTGGTGGAATATTATAATTGATTCCTCTTAGATTAGCAGCAGATGTTATAAATTCCAATTCTACACAGCTTAGTTTATCCTTTTAGTAAGAAAATGGTCTAATTTATTGCATATTTAATATATTCTCTTAAACTAGCTTCTCTAATTTAATCATACGCATATCATTCTCTTATTTAATTTCATTTTCATTAAATTACAAATTTTCAAATAATTCCTTGTTCTTATTTATATCAATCGAACCAACAAGAAACGATATCTATTCTGAATCAAACTGTAATTGTTATCCAAGTATTTTTATAACTATTTTTACCACACTATGAATAAATTAACAATGAAGTGGATCAGTTGAATTAAATTCTATTGACATAGGTAATCTTCTAGGGTTTGTCCAAAATAATAATCCATTTTATTATAAAAAATCAGCTGGATATCTACTTAACAGATACTTTATCTTAACATCGAATAAGGAAGAAAACAATTCTTTTGCATATCTAACTAGGTTTTCTAAAGTAGGATTAATAACTAATAATACGTATTTTTCAATCAATTCAAGTTGATCTTTTAAATAATCAATATAACGTTAATTTTAATTATAAACAGTGTTAAGAAATGTCTATGGGTTTTGTGATAATTAATATAAATCCTTTGAAGCTTTTTCGAATAGATTGTTGAAATATTCCAAAGCCCATTCAATATTATGATCTTTTGTATATGGAAAATTCATGAATGTACTTTTAGGACTACTCATTTCTGGGCGATCCTTAAATTCGCTGAATGATTCTGTTTAATATGGAAGAATAACTTGAGAATGGCATTAAGTACCTTCAGATCCGCTTTCAAAATTAGGCTTACTATAATAACAGCATTAAGAATCCATGTAATGTCTTGCCCTAATATTATCAACAGCATTAACTGTAAAATCTACTTAATTCCAGAATGATTAATTAAAAATTTGTTCACTTTCTTTTGACATCGCATATGGATATGCTTTGCATTAAATTGATTGATTAATCTAATTAATCACAGCACAAGCAACATTAGCCTTATTTGAACCAATATGATGTTTACTAAATAAAAATTGCCTATTCAGATTTGACACTTCTATTTAATCATTATCAACAGTAATCAATGATCCTTTTTGTCCACTTCCAATCCCCATTAAAGAAAATATCTTAAGATATTCATTTCCTAAACCTCCAATACCCATCAATAAAACATTTTAATTTTATAGCTTTTCCATTGTTTCTTATCCAAATATGGCATAATAATCATCATATTAACAATTCTTTGACTTTTTATTTACTTCTATTTCAGGAAGCGCCTCATAAAATTCTAAATGAAGCCATTATTTGATGGGTGTAAATTTCCCTGTAAATTTAATTACTTCAAATGCAACAAGTCCACCCCAAAATGATGTTAAAGGTGCAATTTGAGCTTATAAATGCTATGCAATATTTCTGATTAATTGAATATCTAACTAATATTGCTCTTTTGTTATTTTTAAAGCTAACTTCAATACTAAATCTGCATCATCATGATTCAATAGATTTGGGAGCCTTCCATTTTGATTCATAAAAGTTAAGATCGAATTATATGAAATTTATAATTGTAGTGACCTGTCTAAATTATTTTTATTTTCAAAAGATAACATATTTTTAAATGATTTATATGACGTATTTTGGGGGAACTTTATTTATATTGCTTTTCCATTTCTTTAATATGCTTAAAACTTGGTTGTATCACCAATACTAAATCTATTAGGAGATAATGTCTAGATTTGAATATCGATTAATTACAATAATCTTAAAGACTGAATCATTTACTTCAGTCATCCCTAACACTTCTTTGAATTATACATAATCTCCATCTTAAAGACCTTATATTGTATCAATTGTATGAACTACTCCATTCTGATTTTTTGTTATTTCTTCTATTAAGTATTCTTTACATGTCTATCCATTATTATTTTCAATTACAAAATTCTAATAATACTCTTAATTTATGCTTACATCTGAAAAATCTACAAATATTGATCCAAACAACCCAGAAGAATGAGCTAATATAAATCCATTTCCCTTTTTCCTTGTAGCTTCATTAATTTCAGAAATTAATTCTTAATCCCACATGTCTGTCATTACAACAACCGAAAACTCACTTAAGTTTTACCCATTTATAATTCCATCATAGAGATCGACAATCACATTATCATTTAAAGCTTTTAAAGATTAAATAACAGCCTTCTCTCTTGTAACTTTATCAACTTAATTAGCATTAGCATAAAAATTTGTGCCCAGATCGGAAATAGATAGAATTGTTTTATCATAAATCACAATTCTTTTCAAACCCATCAATATTAAATTTTTAGCGATCTCTAATCCTAACTACCTTATACTAATTTTATACTCCTCTTAATCCATAAATAAAGCAATCTAATTATTCTAATTTATCTTATGTATCCCATCCCAAAGCAGCTGCTTATCGTGAATAATATATTTCTTTTTCATATAAACTTTATTAGAACATAAATATTATTTATATATATTATGTTATAATTTAATGATATTAATTATTAATTAAATTCCGTTATATGTTTATGATGATTCGAATATAAATCAATTAAATTTATATATTCACTCAACTTAGAAAACTTACATTATAAAATCAAAAAAAGTAAAATATAAGGCCTTTTAAGATTTTTAACATTGATTGCAAATTCTCAGCGATACGTTAGGGTTCTCTATTATTTCTGTGAATTTAAACAATTATCACTGAAATTCATCAGTTTCAAGTAATTCAATAAAAAATCAAGGTTTAATAATATAAAATAATTATAAAGTTTTATTATTATTTATTATATATTATAACTAGAGAAAATAATTTCAGCATAGCCAATTTGTTAAAGCAAATTTTACTTGTTATTTACTGAATCATAAAAATTTGTTTTAAAGTTGTATTTCTAAATGTTCACCATTAATGAGATTCTCTAGAGTCATTCCAAACAAGTTCGTTGTTTAAAATTAATATTTTTAAATAAAATTAAAATTAACTCTTGAAATAGAAAAGATAAAAACTCTCAGCATCAATAAGGATAACCTATTCATAAATTGAAAACAAAGATATCACCATTACACAGTTCTTTTTTCTTGAAATACATCCAAAAATATGAACAAACAATCCAAATTTCTAAAATTTTTGAAATATATATCATTTAAGGAGTTTTTATACTGATGAAAATCACATTATAATATAAAACACTATATAAAGTATCAAAAATTAACGCAGAGTCGATAATTATAAAAGAATAAGAAAAGCTGAATATCGATTAGGGCAAATAAGAGGGTTGTATATGACAATTTTTTTAATTAAAACGAATTCAGGATTGCTAAATCTAAGTTTATGGAAGGAATTATTAATAATTATAATATATGATATATTTAACTTCTCTCTATCTTTTAAATTCAGTATTGGGACAACTAACTTATGATTCTGGATTATTTTCTGGATTTAGTTCATCTTGTGCTAATGGACGAATAGAAACTAAGACTATTTCATTTCATGGAATATTTGATAATATTCCTTAAGTTATATTGGGGCTTGAACATCTTGATATGTATTTTGGAGCAGATTTTAGAATTCAGACTCAAAACATTAAAAAGAATAGTAAAAAATTTGATTTATTTTAGGTTTTGACTTGCAAATTGAATGTTTAACAAGTACTACCTTATGGACAATAAAGTATTATTGGTATGCAATCGATGATAGCAGAATCTAAGTCATAAATAACTTTAATATGGTGAATGTAAATGATAAAACATTCGATCACTTGAATCCAAATGCTAATTATGGGATATTGTCTTTCATCAGCATGGGAGTGACAGGGAACGTTGATTTTAAGTTGTCAGTAAAAATGATGTAATTATTTAGATAACTTCAATTACTCCATCTTAGGTTTCAGTGGGCATCACTAAAGTCGCTGGAAAATTTACAAACTTAAACCAAATTGGATATTAAATTATATTGGGGATTCAAGAAGCATTCTATGACACAAAAATACTAAAACATACAAGTGATTATGATAGTGGAACTGTTACTTAGCAATAAGATAGATGGCTATTTTTGGCTTATAATGGACTACAATTAAGTTCAAGTTTCAGACAAAAATCTATTCGTACATAAGTTTCCAAATCCTACACAGTTGAGACATGTATACATTTTCAAATATTTAGGGTACGGTACCTACGTTGTGAATTATCACTTGAGTAGTTGGGTAGCCTATCAATATACAACCGAATTTAAGGCCTTTTTGTGTTTCACTTTAAGAATATCTTAATCTCTTGACATGGAAGTATCCTAAAAACCTTCTATATTTGTTGAAATCAGTGAATTAAATTAATCATTCTAATCATCATCATACTTATTACTTGAGAAAACAGTAAGCCTTTTAAGTTTCAAAATATATATGAAATGCGTTAAAACAAAGACAATTGTTAGTCAATTTCTTAAATGTTAGAATTGCTCAACCAGTAACAAATTTTACTTATTCTCGCATTATTGCCATGGTTAAATTGATGCAGTTACATATTTTCCAAAATTTTAATTGATTGAGTCTTCATATAAAGAATTAAACATTAATTTTTTAGTTGACAGGCTAACAATTACTTAAACCTTATTTAATTAAATTCAATCTATAGAAACACTTGTGGAAATAAAATTTAAAGTTTGATATATATTCGAAATATTAATTTAATCATTATTGCTTTTCTATTAAAATAATTATTGCTTATGAATAAAAATATTTAGTAATTAAATATATTTACAATAATTATTAAATACAAGGGTTGTTATAAATTTCAAAAATAAAATATATTATAATTTATAAGTAATTTGAACTTTTTATATATCTTTAACCAAAGTATAATTTATTGATCAGAATCCAATATTCTCATCAATTTTACAAAGTTATCATAGAATGTATTTAAACTATCAAGTTGAAATTGGATATTAATTAATTAAATTATACCTCCAATGATAAAATAAGAACAAACTTTTCTTAAACTCCTTAGTTTGTTATTGTTTTAAGAATCATAAAATCAAACAAAGAATTTGATTTTATAATTATTCTAAATTTGTCATTAGATTCTTCCCTTTTGAATCATGCTTAATTCCTTTCTCTTCAATATCTTTTTGATTATCTAAGATTTGCTACTTATATTTATCAATCAATTTAAGGTTTTCACCAAAATTTATTATTTATAAGGGAATATTTATGAAAGCTATTTATTCAGGTGAAGTTTAATATTTCTATTATTTATTATATTTTTTCAAGTGTTATTATTAATGTTCAATTATACTTTATAACTAAATGACACTTGGTTAATATAATACTTAATCTCAGGAGCTCATTCACATATCATTTTTTTTTAATTTCTTATTTTCTCTACTTAACTTAAAACTAAATATAGAAGATTTGATAAAATCAAAATTCAAAAAAGTTTTATTTGCATAAAGTAAAATTGTACTTTCTTCAAATATCAGTTATGGTTGAAACAATTATAGGTTAGAAATAAAGATGTTTTCTACATGCCATATCTGATTGTAATAATGTGGATGGCAGCACATAATTTAAAAATTCAAAATTTTGTTATTGGGATAATGTTTATTTTAATTTAGAATATCATTCTTCATTGCAATTTATTCTCTACCCATGTACCCTATTTATATCCATTAATATATTCTCCAGATAATAGGTATTTATTAGAGCTTATTTATTAAATTAACAATATAATTACAAATGAAACCCATCTTTTTCTTCTATCCAATTTCCTATTTTACGTCCACAATCATCATACATGCCTCCACCGCTATTATTTTGTTTTAATCATATTATAAATACATTTTAGTGTTTTCTCCATTCCAGTTCCAAAATATATCCCATCTTCCCTGTTTCACTCCTTAATTATTATAAACCCCTTTGAATGTTGATTAATTCCAGCTATTGTATTATGAATATTTAAATTAATTAAATTCATTTCTTTATTCCACCCACATCCCAATTTAGTTCCCTTTATCATCGTATTACCCTCCACCACTAATAAATTAATTTTTAGTGTATTTATACATTTTTTCGGATTTGCCTAATTTATACCCGATTGAGTGGATTTTCCAATTATTTCTCTTGACTTTCATTAAATAATTATTTCAAGTAGCCTTGTTCCAAAGCTCGAATTATCCCTAATAGTCAAATTACAACGACTAATTCAATTAATTTTTTTTTTTTAAATTAGTTATTTAAATCAATATTATGTAATCATGATAAAATATTTCCCATTTATCAATTTTCGCACCTTCATTGTTATACTCCCCTATATATCTAGATTAGTTATAGCTAATAAAATTCATAACTGAGATTCTACCACCAAAAGTAATCACTTAACTCTTACCATTTACCATTCTTAATTCCTTTCTCATTGTATTATCCACCTCCACTATGATATATTTATTATGGGATTTTAGATTTACATTCTTTTATTTGGCTAATTACTGAAAGAATCTAAAAAAAAGATCTCCCACTCTCCTATTCTCATTCCTTGTTAAATATACTCCCCCGTGAGAGTTGCTTAATTAAAGCTAAAATAATATAAATTAGGATTTAACTTTCAAAATCCATCAATTTACTCTAACCATTTCCAATTTTCTTTCCTTAACCTCCTATTACCTCCA